TAAAAACCAGGAATAATTGTATATAATAATAATAATAAACATCTCAGGACAATTCACACAGCGCCATTTCGACCCAAGTCAAGCTACCTAAAATTTGTGTTATTTTATTAAAAACTTAAAATAAGTGACGACCTTCTTGCTTTAATAATGACAATGCTTCCATGCAAGCTTTTATCTCCACTTTCAATCCCTTACAACCGTTTTTCACATTAAAAAGTAACATATGTCTTTTCTCAGGGTCTAGACTATCTGTGTACCAAATTTCACTTAAATCGGTTCAGTAGTTTTGGCGTGAAAACTAGACAGACAGGTAAGAGTTACTTTCGCATTTATAATATTAGTAAGGATTAGCAGGGCGTACTGATTTAAAGATATTAAATTACAAAATTATACTCTGCCAAAATAGACCTAGTCGCTCGTAAATCACAAAGGAAACCTTCAAACGCATCGTAAATATATTTCCAATAAGTACTTGCAATATCGAAAGAGAAACTTCCACAATATGTATACTGAAATGTCTAAAATACAACAATAAATCTTTTAACTGCAATAGTTCGCAACTTATTTTTTCCTGAATATTTTATTCAAGGATTTGAATTTGGGAATTAAAATGTCAACTTTTAAGTTGTTGTTATTGTGATTTTAAATTACAAAAAGTAATAAAATCTATACAAAAACGGCCTCAATGGTCTAGCGGTTTAACATACCGCCTTACTTCCGATGATCGCGGGTTCGATTCCTCGCACGGCACAAACATTCGTATTTCGTTTTCTGTGTATAATATGTGTGTATTTACAAAAAAAGTTCTATGTATTTATATCAGTTATCTAGTACCCATAACTACTTAGCTTGGGACTAGGTAGCGTTGTGTATTGTCCTGAGATATTATTGTATAAAAAGTATCAGCAACATGGCGCTCCCCGATGTGTGTACCGAATTTCTGGAACCTACTAGATTATTAATTAGCATAGGACAATTTAATATGATTAGTAACATGTAACTTTACACCGATAATTGTTCTGAAATAAGTAAATAAATGATACCATTATGATATAAGCGAGTTTTGTAATACGCCGCCAAAAACTAAAAAATATGTTAGGAATGTAACATAAAAAGTAATAAAATGTATATAAAAAGTATAGTATCAGCAACAATACTGATACCAGTCCTATTATTTCTTGAAAGTTGCTTGCTGTTATTTATGTCGGATGAATGGATAAAAATCATTGCATTCACCATAGAATAAAGAATATTTTGTTTTGTGATATTCACTGTATTCACACCACACTGTCTATTATATAGAATTTATAATTTGAGGGGGATTCCACCTAATTTCAATTGACGTAATAAATTTATCCCAAAACTTTAGTCTATAACTTTATTTTCAACTTATTTCAAAAAAGGAATAGGTTCTAAATTAGATTGTATTTTTTAAGTATGCATTTTGTCGAGATGAACTGATTTTTTTTATTTTAATCCTACCTCTCATGTGGTTCCCTATAAATTTGATCAAGATCTGTGGGCTAATTATGTAACTTCGTTCGCAACGATTTTCGTATGTAACGTAGTGAAAATGACGTCATCTGTCAATAATGCGATCATATTGACGCCATTTGACGCTGTCAACTAGCATTGCAACGTAAACGCAACTTTACATATCGATAAAAATTATTTCTATCGAATGTCGATTTAGTAACCTCGTTGCAACGTCACGTAATCGCTATTTTGCCGAAATGACAGCGTGGAATTGAAACGGTTTATACATTATGGCGACGCCGTGATAAACGGCCCCGCGCTCTGCGCACCATGCACCCCGATAGTTTTACGTGTCGCCGATCGACCGCCAGCGCTCGCTCGCTCTCCCCGTACCACGATATCACGAACACGCATCCGTGTCGCAATGAAACAATTTAGAAGGTGTTTCTTTTGGTTACAATCTTTAAAATATCAGCATTAGCAGCATTATTTATCTTGTTTTGGTAATTTTCAGTATTACATATCTTTTTATTATATTAAATATTACGTAGAAAGTCGTGAAAAGGTTTTAAATTTATTAAAATGGGAAAATTGTCACGACTCACAACACGACATCAGTGTTGCCAATTCGATATTTTATTTTCGTCCCAAATCACATAGAATGTTGTATTAACTAGAGTAAATGTTTAATATAAAATTAGGGTTGATTATGATATTAATATAATTAAAAAACTATTTCAATGAATACGGGGCACCGTGAACGGAATACAACGTTTATGATGCTCTGTGATTTGTTTAAAGTAAATAAATTTATTTGTTTAAAGTTTTTACAATTATGTACAAATTTAAAAAGATGTGCCCATATCATTTTAAATTTATATGGATACCTACGTACTTACCTAGGTATCTATAGCAGAAAAGAAAAGTTAATTTGTAGGTTAGATTAATATTATTAATGATTATAAATAGTTTGTATAAAATATGCTTTTATATTCAAAATTATTAACCTTATTTTTTCATTAGAATAGAATAGACTTTCTTTATTTTATTTTATTAAATGTCTATTAATAAAATTAAAATAAAAGAACAAGTGAACGCTGCAGTATATTTTGTAATTTTTGAACGCACAACAACCCAATAAATTAAAATGTATCCCTCTAAAGGTATAGGCTATCTAATGTACTGACTTTTTAAATTGGTCGGATTAACAATATTCCGCTGCAACTTCATAGTAGTGTTTTATCGATAGAAATGATTTATGTTGCGGTCATTCGACCTTACTTGATCGCATTTTTTAAATTGAAATGATTTCATATTGCATCACAACTTCAACAGAAACAATTTCATATCGTGTTACATAATTAGCCCACTGATCAGTAGGTTTTGAGTTTAACTGCCCAATACTAATGTAGCCTCTTATCTAGAGTTTCCATATTGAAGTTCGTAATATTTAGGGTTCTGGTACTGGGTACCACTTTCAGTTCCGTAAAATAAATGCAATTGCATCGTACTTGTACTGTTTTTTTAAACTACAATGGTGGCGAATAAGCTTACAGCCCATTTGATGGTAAATGGTTACCGTAGCCTATGGACGTCATGTCCGCGTTGCCGACCCTTAAGAAACCTTAACATACCTTTCTTGAAAGTAATACGCTGGATGCACAGTACTGACTGAATCTAAAGTGATAACTTCAATTCAAAAACTGACGCGATATGCAAATAATGTTATAGGAAAAAATGAACAGAATGACGTAGTTTGTTCTATAATTATTCTCTAAGCAGGATAAAGTTGATATTGTTTCAATAAGCCTACTTATGTACATGGTATTTAGGTTGAAAGTCGTCACCTTAAGGTTTCCCTTAGGATACTGGAAATTAATGACAAATATTGCCCTTAATATAAATATAGTAACTATGACACTTATATGATAATTGACACCGAGGAGATAAAAATCATCGCTCCTAAGAATGTCCATCAATTCTTGTCCCTGACGGTTCTAGGTAGTGAACTTTGAAAAAGGGCGAGCACAATAGATCTATGCAGGTCGCAGTGCTACAGGTCTTAGCACCTGACAATAGCCCAACCTTTATTAAACCTTTATTAAAATAGAAAAAAATGACACTTATTAAAGCCAATAACTGTTTTGGTTTATTAGTTATGTATTAATAATAAAATATTTAGTAAAGTAAGACTATTGATGGAAAAATCGTTGTTTATGAAACTAGCTATTAATGACTAGTTATTCTGGAACAGTATTATAATTGTTATTTATGGAATTGAATGCAATAAATGTTTATAATTACAGTCGTTCTAAAGAGTTTTCTATTTTAAAATATAACAAAATAACTTAGTATTCTGTCAGGGTAGCAATATATATTTTAACGCAACTTTCTGCCATTTGATTACCAATCTAACTAACTTCAACTATTATGTACTGCTCTTTTTTAATGTGCTAATCTTGTTTGTTGATTGTACAAATAAAGCATTATTATTATTATATGATTTTTGTTGTTGACATACTGGCGACATACTTTTATAGTTCATATATTGTATTTTTCTAAAGAATTCTTTTATATATTTTTGTATACAGAACATTTTAATATTGAATAAAGATTGTCACAGACAACAACAATTTCTATGAATTTATTTAAGCATTTTTACCTTTTTTTTGTACTAAACAACTGTTTGTATAATAAAGCGTGCGGAGAACACATTAGTACATTTATCTCAAGGCAAAGTATATTAAGATAAGAGTAATCGTAAGCCATTACAAATGATAGTGGAAATCCCACGTGGTGACATCTATTTTAAATTCCACTTCCTTTGAATGGCGTAAAGTGAACCGATTTGCTGAACAAGGCGTAACTACAGTCATGATTATGTTTTGGTTGTTTAATTGTCTTTACTAGTTCTTTAGAAAAACAATATCTTTATTTATTATTTGAACATATACATACATGCAAACCTACACACACACACACAACAATATTTATTGGACTGTGTACTATTCTGTATTTATATAAAATTATCTTTAAATAGTATAAAACATAGTCGCTACTGCTGTCTGTACCCTTAGACTTTTTAGACTACGCAACTGATTTTAATGCAGTTTTTACCAATAGATACGAGTAGAGTGAGTTTGGAGTGCCATCTGCACTCGCCCCCTATCTTCCGTTGAAGCTGTAAAGGCCAGCTGCTGCCAACAGCATTAAAGTAGTTCTAAAAAATATATTTGCGCCAATTGTTTCCGAACTGGAAGTCGAAACAATTGTGGTGAAAGACAAAAACGTAGTAAGTTTATTCAATTTGCGTAAATAGTTATAAAACACATTAATATTACTATTTCTATAAAACAAGCAATAGCAACGGTTTAGAGGCCTGTTGCCGTAACATATAAGAAGCGCGTGCCTTTAGCACTCAGATAATTGACCCAAAATGCCGTCCATTATTGAATGGAATAGGGAAAACTGGAAATTAAATATTTTATGATGGCGACTGTACATGAATATATTTTTGTTGGCAGGGCTATGCTCCACTATACAACCCGTTTGAGCAGTTCTTCTCCCGGTACGTGTACAGGCGTGTGCGGCACTGCTTCAACCGGCCCATCTGCTCTGCGCCCGACGCAGAAGTCACGCTCATGGAGAGGCACTCCGACGATCACAATTGGACCTTCAGGTGACACACTTTCGATTTTGTACCATAAATATATATTCAGTAATGGTGAAATTCTCATGGAATTGACAAGGTATAAATAAAAACTAAAATTTAAAAAAGAATAATTAAAATCGGTGATATTTTCCAGATTTGTTTTTATTATATTTTTCGCACATTATCTTGGTGTTTCTGTGGTGTAAACTATGTTTGATAAATATAAAAAAAAATATTTCTTATTTTTTATTATATAAAAAACATTGGGTGTCATAGAAAAATATAAAAATAGACTTAGGTACTTAATTTGAAAGCTCTTTCAGCAATAGAAAGCTACATATTAGAGATTAAATTGAGCTTCTTTTAGAGATACCTACAATATTTTTTGCAAGTTTTAATGTGCAATAAAACATAAAGGCAAAGTCGAGTTGATCATTAGTCTAGTATATTTAATTTGCTTGTGAGAAACTCGGCTGTACTGAATAGGATCAGGACACAGATTTACAGGCAAAAAGCGCGTGTGTATCAACCTAGGCTCGTACAACTACCTCGGGCTGAGTATGCTGGACCGGGAGCCGGTGGCGGAGGCTGTCAGGAAGTACGGGCTCGCTCTCGCCTCGCCCTACGGGGAGCTCGGCCGCTGCGAACTACACGACCAGCTCGAAGCGGAGATTGCAGACTTTCTCGGTGTTGAGGTCAGTAGTAGTATTTATTTTTATTTGCTGTGGTTTCACCATATGTTATTCCCAAGCCAAGCATGGCTTTGTTATGGGTACTAGAACTACTAGACAACTGATATAAATACTTTAATACATATATAATACCAAACACCCAGACCATAACAATCATACTTATGAATACAAATTAAGATGATAGTAAATATAAATTATAAAAAACAAACCATCAGAAGTATAATTAAAGAATATTGATTATATATATATATATATAGATATATAATATGACTGTTCAAGATGGTAGATGGTAATAATAGTTCAGCGAAGCGATGACTTACAATAAAGTATTTATTGTATATGTTACAGGCTGCAATCGTGTTCGGAATGGGTTTCGCTACGAATACACTGTCGCTGCCTGGCCTCCTAGGGCCTGACGTGTTGGCGCTCAGCGATGAGAATAATCACTCCTCCCTGATATTGGGCATGCGGCTGGCGCGTGCCACCGTCCGCGTCTTCCGCCATAACGACGTCAGGCATCTCGAGCAACTCGCCAGAGCCGCCATTGCAGAAGGGAAATGGAGGAAAATCGTCATCGTAAGTATTCTTTTTAATCGGTAGTTCTCTCGAGAGGAGAGTATATAAAAAGCGTCTGTGTATACACCATCTATCTCTCTCGGATAGTTAAAATTTCGTGTTTTAATACGAAAATTTAAATGCAAATGGAAATTGGTATATACGGCAACGTAGTTAGTAATAATACTTATATAACGTAATAGTTGTATAAGTATCTGCCGACTGGCCACCGTTAAGTATATTTCAAATTTATCCTCATAATACAAGCGTAGAGAGGCATCATCGTTTTATTTAATTTTCAATATAAAATTCCACTACTCCCAAAGTAAACGAAAAACAGCCTTAAGACGAACAAGATATGGGTTTTCGAGCCGGATTTAAAAGCTGAAATAAAATTTAAGACTTTACTAAATGGAATAAAAAAAATGGAATCTAAGACAACTCCTACCTGGTAGTTGTCCTAGGTTCCATTTTTTTTAAACAAACTTATTTTATAAGAATAGTAAAACGACATGAAACAGTCACGAGTGAAAAAGTGAATGTCCTTACTACGCTAAATTTAGGAAAGGTAGCAAATATTTCCATACCGTATGTGTATAATATCATATGTTCGTTATTGACAGGTGGTGGAAGGAGTGTACAGCATGGAGGGGTCAATCGTGCCGCTGCAAGCAGTAGTGGCGCTGAAGCGGCAGCTCGGGCTCCAGCTCTACCTGGACGAGGCGCACTCCATCGGAGCCCTAGGCCCGCGTGGCCGTGGCGTCACCGACTATTGGGACGTGTCGCCGTCGGACGTCGATATCCTCATGGGCACCTTCACCAAGAGCTTTGGCGCTGCCGGCGGATACATCGCGGGTTAGATGAGTTTTAGTTCTTTCTTAGAAATATTTATTTTAAAAACTGTATTTGTATTTTAAATAGCGATTGTTTATCAATTTTATACCATTGTTATGTAGCGGTTTACTAACTTAAACTCCAAAGGGTCGTCAGTTCTGGGTGACATTAAGACTTTATATAGTTATTTATATTTCTTATTAGCCAACATAGGCCACATAGGCCCATCAAGAATTAAGTCAATCAGAAATATAAATAGAAACAGAAAGTTAGGATAGTAATCCACTAGGGTACGATGCTCTCCAATAAAGAGATAAACAAGGTGACTACTTTGGCCGCTTATGAGACATATATCTAGGACAGACAACGATACGACGTAGAAAACAATCTGTATTAACGATAATCTTCCGCTCGCGACGATCAGCAGACCGTTCAAGGTTTATAGTGTTTTTAGTATGTAACTGAAGTGACAAAAAAGCTAATAGAATACGGCGACCTTGAACCTATATAGATACATAAATGGCACTACGCACACCAAATCGTAATACGAATGTGATATCCCAAGTAAATTGCAATTTCTGATAAAATAAATTGTCGTCTGTAGGTACTGTGAAATTTTAGAAATTTCTGAATTATAACATGTAATTCAATTGTGTGGAAACGTGGGCACACGCGCACACGAGGTATGTAGGCAGACGAGTTTTTTTTATACTACGATGATGGCAATCAAGCATACGACCCATCTGATAGTAAATGGTTACCGGAGCCTATGAACGCCTAAAACACCAGGGACATCACGTACGCGTTGCCGACCCTTAAGAAATCTTAATATACAAATCCCCATGCTGTAGTCTCGTGGGAAAACCTCGGCAGGAAGTTCATTCCACAATCTAAGTGTACGCGGGAGGAAGTACGCACTGTTCGGGACCACTTAGGTTTCAGGGTGTGGAGATGAATTTCCTGTGGATGGCGAGTTTGTACAAACAGTATAATTCCAGGCAGCGCGCGCACGGTGCGGGCGGTGCGCGGCGCGGGGCACGCGGCCTCGTACGCGCACGCGATGTCCCCGCCCGTGGTGCAGCAGGTGCGCGTAGCACTGCGGACCATGTGCTCGCCCGCCGGACACGAGCGCTTCCAGCAGCTGCACCGCAACGTCCGCTACTTCCGGACCAAGTCAGTTACATTTCTCAGTTTCAGCGCGCTTACGCTTTAATATGATTGGAATGATAAACAATCTCACGACTCAACGTGGCTTATATATATTTATATGAGAAGGACCATAGACATTGTCTTTATGTGACAGATGATGGTATCCAACCACAAGCACGGGATTTTGTACCTTCTGTTACCAGCCAGTTTCTTCCAGTTGGAAGCGGGTTATACCTACAAAATACCACTATAACTAATTTAGTGCAACATGAAATGTAAAATCAAAGAAACATACACATATAATAACTATATATATATGTATATATATACATGTAGAAATATGTTATGCACATACTGTGCAATAAGTGATTTGTTACCAATAAAGGTACTCATTTTATCCCTCATGATATAGGTAGAGTACCATGTGCTTCTATTCTTAAACAATGTACAGAGAGGTTTGCAAACGGCCTCGGTGGTCTGTCTAGCGGTTTAGCCTTTACTTCAGACGGTCACGGTTTCGATTCCTCGCACGATACAAACACTTGTATTCATAAGTGTGTTTATTTGAATCTCATTATGTATATTATGAATGTATTTACAAAACAAATCTATCTAAGTATTCTATCAGTGGTCAAGTATCTATTACACATCTCATGGTGCTAAATTTGGCATAAATACTATTTATTTATTTAAACTCATTAAGGGTAAACGATACACGTTAAACTGAAAATTGTTTCAATCGTGAACGTCCAAACGGTTCGGAAAGTATCCATAATTTAGTTAAAATCTCTGCAGGCTCGAGAGTATGGGCGTAGTAGTGTTCGGTCACCCGGACTCGCCTGTCGTACCGATGCTGGTATACACATTCAGCAAGATGGCGGCGACCGTGGAGCTTCTCACCGAGTGCGGTATAGCCACTGTCGGCGTCGGATTCCCCGCCACACCTCTCAACAAAGCTAGAATACGGTACGAATAATCTTTATTTACTAATGCTTGTAGTCGCCCAAAGGTTCGACAATAATTCAATTAAATTCTAAGTTTAAACATTATTAAGGTTCTATTGTCAGAGACTAAATTTGTGTTGACATACTAATAATATAACATTTAATACATGGTACTGTGTGTAATGTTTTTTATTGATTTAATGTATTTATATGCATAATTTAAAAAAAATTTGCATTCTGCACTCCTCTATATAGAAAACTTCAAACTTCTCCGTTCACGCAATTTTTGTAAAAAGATATATGTATACATTATAAACTTGAAAGCAACTCTTTGGTACGTTTTTATTATTGATGCTTTCACTATTTTAAATTTTCGGAAAGGGAATTGCAATGTGTGTGTGTGTCTGATAACTCATTGCTAGCAAGGCACCATGTCATCTTGATCATCACGCGGTTCCCCCTAGAAACCGTCGCGATAAATTCCTGGTGAACATGTCACAATGGGCTAACTGACCTACTTCATGTTCATCTTATCAACCTCCACTGGTGCCCCGCCAGCGGAAACCGTTAGCGCAGGCGAGTGCGCCATTGCATTATTAGCTATCTATGGAATATTGTAAAAATAGCTTGGTTCTCTCTTGGTCCCAGGTTCTGCTTATCAGCGGCACATACGCGAGAGCATTTAGACGCGTGCCTGGAGGGCGTGCGGTGCGCCGCCGACTCGCTCGGACTGCGGTACTCGCGCCGCAGTCACCAACCACAACACACGCACGCCACGCCGCACTAGCACTCAGCGGCCGCAACCACCGCCTTACCTCTTCTTACTTATTGTATTATTATTATATAATTAATAAATTATTTTCACACGCTTGACAGCTTTTTATTATTACTAGTGACGACGTTGGCAAACAAGCGTACTGCCCATCTGATGGTTACCGAAGCCTATGGACGCCTGAAACACCAGAGGTGTCACAAGTGCGTCGGCGACCCTTAAGAAACCTTAATAAACCCTACATATTATAAAAAACTGTACATAAAAAAATAGCATTCTGCAGTTCTCTATACAACTACAAGTATGTGATTTTTATACTTCTCCGTCCGCCCATTTTTCGTAAAAAGAGGTACAAAGTTTTTGCTTCAAGTATTAATATCAATATCAATGCAAATTTTGATATTAAGATAATCTCCATCGTTGTGTAGTGAACTGTCTTACGGCAGTCTATAACTGCAAAAAACATTACTGCTTGGACATGGTTTCCAATTGGGAACCTCTTCGTTTTGTGACTTGAAGACTACTAATAGTATTTAGTGCTTACTTTTCTTTGCAGACTTTATATTTTTTAATATGTTTTATTAGTTGTGCTCGCTGTTTCACTCATGATATTTGTAGGCTTTGTAGCTAGTTATGCTAATGTATAAGCTATATTACTGTACATTTTCATCAAAATCCGTTAAGTAGTTTTTGCGTGCAAGAGTAACAAACATCCATCCATACTCGCAATATTTTCACAACTTCGCGTTTATAATATTAATAAAGTTACGCACACAGTAATAAACTCCTATTTAGTTATAATTTTATTAAGTAAATTGTCGATAATTTATATTCATAAAAACGACGTCAAATAAAAATAAATGGGCATGGGATGGGCATTATCCAACTAACGACCTGAGTGCTATGCACCCTGCAATTGATAAAAATGATAAATTGATAATATAATAATAAGACTCGCCTGTCGCTGTTGATATATATTGATACACATGCACTGATCGTGTCAGTTGAGTAATCTATTAACAGTTCGATTAAATACAAAGTAAAAATGTTTATTAAACTTTTATTTCGAATGGTTATACGTCCGTTGTTTTTATTTTAAAATTGTACCTAGTAATTACTTCATGAATAATTAATTATTTGGCATCTCAATATATATCTATATCTCCCATAAAAAAACAATTAGAAGTGCGGTTTGCGTTTATTTATAATGAGCATCGATTATAATAATAGTAATTGTTCTATGTTAGTAAAGGAATGTGAGACAAAACCCTGAAAGTATTGCCTCTCCCACCCAGTGTCTCAGAATTTATAAGCATCTGCCTTCAGGATACTTTTGGGACTTGTCCGTACTCTGACATCTAATAACGTTATTCCTTTGAGCCGTATCGTATAGAAGTAAATACGTAAATATTACTATTTGTAAGTCTAATAAAAATATGTTGGAATCAAAATTCCATCCACCCTGCTCCCCTCTGTGGGATCGTAACATGATTTTCAGTAAGAATACGGAAATTCATACGAAATTGGGGCAAGTTAGTGTGTCAATAAGTACGATGTATAGATAGATTAATATTTTTAAGGGGGATTTGGTCGTTGCAGCAAAACAGGCCATGTGAACACGCGGAGGTAAATATATCTCCCAATTAATAATGCCATTACTGCACTTCAGTCGCCTCTTGACTATGGCGGTAGCAAGACCATTGAAATATCTGAAAATGTACTGTACTGTAATATTACGGCACTTTCGCGGTATAAATCTTTATTGATACTATTGGAAATGTTTTTTAATTGTCTGAGACTCTACTGATATTAACGATGCCAAGTATATTATCTGTTACTGATATATTTTACCTATTGGCCGGCATAGATTACCGCGATAACACCATATCGCTCCCCCGCCTTCGTATTCATCATTTTTGGATAAGTGCAAATAAAGTTAAACGTTAGTCACCAAACATTTGAAGGTCTGGCCATAAGGAAAATATGTTTAAAATGTTTTATGAAATCGTATAAATATGTTTATAATTTGTGTGTGGCTAATTTTGATAGCAGTGGGCGGTGTATGCTCAGTGGAAAATGTTACCGTGATTCGAGAAAGGTGAGTTCTTTCAATTAACAAATATATTATGATATACTAACACTAAAGTTATCTTAGGTATACGGGTACGTTTGTCTCACCTATTTTTGCTTACTTTTATGGTGTTCAATCTGGCAATAAGAAGGTGAGTTGGAGAGCAGTGAAATTAATGGGTAGGAGCTTTAGTACATAGAAATAGAAATAATCTTTATTCAAATAAACTTTGAAAACGAATCTTGTTCAAATTTACTTGAGGAGTGGTGGTCGCTATCATACTTCAGAGTTACCAACAGGCGATTACTTGACAGAGTTACACTTGTATTATAAAAATACCTAGATATATTTTAAAGTTTATAACTAGTTTTTGTTATAAACTGGGTACTTCTCATAGAAAACCTACATATTTTACAATTTTTTATCTATGAAATCGCCTTTTCATGGCAATCATTAACAATCGGTAAAGTAATGGAGACAGACTAACAACAGACTTCTCCTGGTTGTACGTACCAACTTTATACATATATATACAGCACAATCAAATAAATTAAGTATATAAAAGTATTAAAAATTTTGTTACCGTATTAATTTCAGATTAGAGTTCGAGGTGCAATACACGTACATCGTCCAATACAACACTGAATATGTCTTTGAATTTGTACCTGTAAGTTTTTGCAATATTTTTTTTGTTTATTTATTTATTTGTAAAAAAATTTTGTGATATAATTTAGTTTACTCATTCATGTCTTCTCTTAAAACCAATGCCGATCAATCGGCATTGGAATAGGCTGCAGCTACTATCGCATCTTATCACACACTTGAATTATACACTAGCGATGTAGATATTAATTAAATATTTAATGAACTAACCGGCATTGAAATGCGTTTATTTATTTTTTCATTATGTTCAAAAGAGCACTAGACTTATAAAATTATTTGTGTATGTATTAGGGCCGTAAGTTTATTTGCCTTTCTTTATTTAATTGATAAAAAAATCGAGTGTTTGTTGTGTATGTCAGTCAAATAAAATTGTTGAATGGATTGCAATGGCATTTGGTTATTATTATAATTTAAGGAAACTAAGTGAAAATTATTATAACTCTAATCCCTAATATTGTACAGAAGTAATGTAAAATAAGAAGGTGACTTCAATTGCACCGGTTTGTTTTTTTTATATTTATGAACATAGACTCAAGCGCTAACTAATCTATGGTTAGCGCTTGTTAAACCAGTTATGGTTTGGGGGAAAAGGGATTGTTGGTACTGTGGATTAATAACCCCATTACTAGCAATGTACCATGTCAGACCTTCAAGCGTTTCCTTCTGGAAGGCATCATGTTAAATTCCTGGTTATTTGCCACGATGGGGTAATTGACCTGACCTCATCTTATCATCCTGGTGTCCCGTCGGCGTATACCGTTATCTCAGGCGAGTGCATCATTACATTATCATCCCTTAAAAAAAATTAACTGATTTTTAACATATATTTTCTAAATAGAATGCGGAAGACGGCAAATGGCCGAGCCGTGTTTGGGTCAGTGCTGACAGCGGAGACACTTCGCGACCGTTGCTTGTCACATACAGACAGATAGCTGGTAATTTTTCTTATTATATATAGTTATAAAATAGTGGTAGTCGCGACTTAGTCGCGTATACATAACGCCATAATTTTATTTTAATTTATTTATTTAATTCAGTCTACTCATGGTAGCCAGAATTAAACTAAAATTAAATAAACACCTTATAGACTAACGTAGGTACATATGAATGATGGTTATCAAATAATATCAATACTTAAATAAAGCATATATGTATTAGACGTTATTTATTGAAGATTTAATAAAATTGTAAAAGGCATTCATAAAATTGCCCCTTCCGGGAGTTCTTCAAACTTTCTTTAGCCCATATGTTATATTAGTTTATTATATGTAAAGAAAAAAAAAATAAAAATATCTTATTATACGTAGCTACAGAAATAAAGGAAATTTTATAAATGTGTTCAATGTTTGTGAGACAATTATTAGGTATATAAATTTTCCGACCGTCACAAGATTTATAATTCAGTGAACCATTGGACAATCTGCCCACAATTCACTGACCTATATATTCTAGGTGCGGGCACATGGCAGCTACCTTACCACACCGGTGACCAGCTCCAGTATGAGTTCGAGCGTACATTGTGTCCAGATGACAGTGCACAAGGGAACACCACATATTGTGGTAGGAAATAAAATTCTTTCTTTTCTATTTCCTGCTATAAGCAAGTCAATGTAACAGCGTGCACGACCCGTAAAATCATTAAAGATTTGGTAGGCGTCTACTGCGTCTTTCTTGCTATTTGTCTTGTTCCTTTCTATGTGTGTGTATGCTTATTTTATATATATGGACTATGATATATGATATTTTCTAATATTTGTGTGTAAACTTATTTTCTCCTATATATTATACATATAACATTATTTCACATTTTATTATGAGTATTTTGAAGTATAATATCAGTTACCTTGACTTAATGGGTATTTTATGTAATTAATTTTAGGTATTGAAAGATTATATATTATTTTATATATTGAATAAAACTTTAGAATATAGAATTTAAAGTGGTTATAAGTTTATTTGAATAAAGATTATTTCTATTTCTACAGATAAATGTTAATAATATTAGTAAAAATAGCGATACAACATTCCATGATGTTATGTTTTATATTATCTTTACAGTCTTATTAATATTATAAACGCGAAAGTTTGTGAGTATGGATGGATGTTTACTCATCTTTTACATCAGACAAACACATAGGCTATAAATTTCATGCAGGTGCGCTTCAGGCATAGCATATATATTATTATTAATAAATAGTCTTAACATCAAGGCAAGTACTTTATCGCGTTTTGAGGCACTGTCGCCGCATATCTCTCTTTATATTTGTGTGTTTTGTACATACCTTTAGACTTGTTATGGTTGTACGGTCATGTTTTATTTGCCTAATGTAAATGTAATGTGTGTGATTGGTAGGTGGCGAGAGGGAAGCACGTGGTGAGTTCGCCCTGCACATGGTGTCTGCGTGCGCGGCGCCTGTGACTGTGCGGTTGCGCGCGCGAATCATACGCGACTGGGTGCTACCGTTCGACACGCCCGTAGCGATCACCGCTTCTTTGGTATGTATATGTTCAGTAGAAAATTCGAAAGCGGAATCCGCGGTTAGACTGTACGTTGGTTTTCTGTAAGACTGCAGCGCCACACGCTCCAGAGTGAGATGGAGGTAAAACAGACACTAGTGATTTTTTTAGAAATATAGGCAAACTTGATACTTTATATTTGACAAGTGATACGAGGGCCTTGACTGAAGCGATGAGTGACTGATGATTTTTTTACGTGTGACAATGGAATGATGCACACGTAAAAAAAAATCATCGGTCACACACCTGCGCTGACAGCTTACGCTTGCGGGACACCAATGAAGGATGATAAGATGAGCATGTCAGCAGGTCAGATTAGTTAGCCCATCGTGACAAATTCACCAAGAACTTATCAAGATGGTTTCGCGTGTAGAGCAACCTGACTTATTGCTAGCAATAGGATCATTAATCCACATTACTAACAATCCCTGTTCCTCCATTCTGATGATTTATACTCGTAGCTATTCTATTTTATTTTTGTATTTTGCGTTTAGTACACTATTTAATATAATACAAAAATAATATCTCAGTACAAATTCACACAGCGCCATCTAATCCCAAGTTAAGCAGAGCTTGTGTTGTGGGTACTAGACAACTGTTACGATTGCATAGCTACATTTTTTTGTAAATAGATAAATAATATACATAGTAAACATTCAGACCGTTACAACACATAAAAATGAACACAAATCATGTACTGTGTGAGGAATCAAACCCGCGACCATCGGGAGTAAAGCGGTGTGTGGGAAATAGGCCACCGAGGCTGTGAAATATCTATTGTCTCGAATTAAGGAAACAAAAAACTTGTTTAAATTAAAACTTAAATTTAAGTAGTATTTATTAAAAAAAAAAAATATAACTTTGATTAGCTCTTGTGGACTTCTAGTCCACATGTTTATAGTAATTAACAGTGTCATAACTGTCATAAGACTGTGATTTATCAGAATATACATAGGCTGTAGCCTTAAATTGTAGTTTAAAGAGATACTTACTATTTAAATTGAGCGAAATATAATAACAAATGTCAAGTGTGATTTAAACGAAATTGCGCGGGTCAGCTAGTTTCACATTATCACATTATATCCTAACGTAGGTTATGGTTAATTTGCAGACATCGCCATGGGTGAACCACTTCCGTTTCCTGGAGGATCAAAAGAGCGTACGGCTGCATCTTGAATCTGAAGACGACGTGTGCGCGTTCATTGCGATACAGAATTATTCGGTACGAGCACTAATTTTACTTTTAATATTTTTTTTTATTTTAGACAATTCACAAAGCGTCATTTAGTCCTTGTGTTATGGGTACTAGATAACTGATAAATAATTAATAAATACATAGATATTTTTTTTGTAAATATAACATAATAGTTAATTTTAAACTTTCGTGTTTAATATACATTTTTTAAATTATTAACCGGGTCTTAACAGGAATAATTTTATGACAAATAAAGGTATTTACCTCTCTCGTCGTTTCGACTAGGTTGCACTAGCCGTGGTCACGTCATCTACCATCACTAGATTGTAGTACAATCTAGTGATGGTAGATGAAGAAAAAACTGCTGTCACCTATCTACATTGACATCGCTGTTACTCCAGTCAGCTCGTGAGCACGGCTAGTGCAACCTAGTCGAAACGTCGAGAGAGGTAAATACCTTTATTTGCCATAAAATTATTCGTGTTAAGACCCGGTTAATAATTTAAATAATGAATATAACATAATAACATGAAAGCACCCAGAAAACATTTTAAATTGTTTCTACGCCAAAAAACCAATAAAAATGAATTGTAGTTTAGTTTTTTTATTGTTTAATAAATAAAAATAACAATAAAATAGATATTGTTTAGTTAAGTACATAATATACTATTATCATTGTCATAGTTTTTAGCCATCACTGAGGTTTCTATTTCTACCTAAAGGTTAGAAGGTTAAGTTCGCTTTTTGTACATTTTATTGTACAATAAAGAATAAAAAAACGTTATAAACATCATTTATTCTATTAATAAAGGCCGATTCAGTGCATTTTTCTTTTTTTATTCCAATATCTGGTTAAAGGCGTTCTTGGCCAGCCATGCGACCTTAACCGTGCAATTCCAGAGTGCTCTCGAAAACAGGGCGCTCCCGAAATTCCTTACAACCGGGATCACTCATTTAGCTCCTAAGACGGACGATACCGCGGATCCATCTAATATCGCCCCATAACTTGTCTTACGACAATATATAAGACGTTAACATCCGTTCTGAGCGCTAAGATCTCTCGTCATGTGTACGAAAACAAGATCCTATCTAGCGCTCAGAACGGATGCAGGGGCGGTAGCGTAGTAGTAGCAGTAACGGATCCGCGGGATCGAAGGAGCTTCTCCTCATTGATGCTGTCGCTGGCCAAGTGGTTAAGCGGAACCGTCGGAATTTCTCCGCCGCTTGGATTGACTATAAAAAGGCGTTCGATTCCGTGCCCCACTCATGGCTTCGGAGGATACTCGAGCTGTACAAGATCGATGGTACGGTTCGGATGTTCCTGGAGACATGCATGGGGCAATGGATGACGATCCTGTCTATCCAGGGCGAGCGATTGACGGATATCGCTGACCGGATTGAGAATAAGAAGGGAATATTCCAGGGCGATTGTTTGAGTCCACTTTGAACTGGAAAATTTGGGGACTGGATTTCAGTATCGAAGAGGAGGTACACGAGTGTCTCACCTCCTGTACATGGATGACTTAAAACTACTAGCTCCGAGCGTCGTACGCCTGACGGAGCTGTTAAATATTGTAAACGATTATAGCAGCTCTGTTAGGATGGCACTCGGAATAGACAAGTGCTCGGTCCTCCATGTGCAGAGGGGACGGGTCACTCAAACTGAAGGGTTGTAATACAAATATAATAATTGACTTTTTACAGGTAAAAGACAATTATTATAATATATAGATATAGGAGGAGGCATACGCATTCTGGAGAACAAAACGGCATTGCTTTTGTTAAGCGACAACTGCAATACATTCTGATCAAACCAAAACTTTAGATATTTTAATGCAGATGTCAAATGCAACAGCATTTTTGTACAGATTTTTCTGTGGCATAAAAAAGCAGATCGTCTGCATATTGTAAATTAAAAACATTATTATTCATATTACATAATACTGCCTTTTCTAAATCTTAAGTGTATAGGTTGTATAATAAGAGGCTTAGAACTGAACCTTGTGGGAGTCCTTTCCATACTACTCTAGATGAGGTTCCAGAGTCATCAGAGTTTATAATGATAGTTCTTTCAGTAAGAGTATTAATTATAAAAATTTACAGTCTAATTGGAATATGTAATGTATCAAGTTTCTGCTTAAGTATTGGCAGAGAAACATTATCATAAGCAGATTCTATGTCTAAAAAGGTTGCAAGTACAGAGTCGTTTCTAGAAAAGACTAAACGAATATGGTTATAAACAACTTACATATCAAGAGTACATTTCCCTCTTTTAAAGCCATATTGACTATCTGATAAATAGTGGTTACTTTCAATATACCATTCCAGACGGTTTTTGATCAGATGTTCTGACAGTTTAAGCAGAACTGAAGATAAAGGACGGTAGGAAGCTATGTCAGATGGGGTTTTGTCAGGTTTTAGAATGGGGATTATATTTTGAGTCTTCCGTAAAGGAGGAATATTACCAAATATCATAATTGAGTTAATGATATCTAAGAAATAGGAGAGAGATTTACTATCTAAGTGTGATAAAGAAGGGATTCCATCTTCTCCAGGTGCAGAATCTTTAACTTTTTAAGTATTCCCTTAAGCTCTGGTAACGAAAATGGAGCATTATATTAATTTATTTTATCTACTAATAATATAATACATACACACAGATGTCATAAATTAGAAATTATCTGTTTCAACGTGAAATTTAACGTGAAAGCATCGTCTCCTTTTTTGACATAGATAGCGAGAATGGCCAATGTTTTTCTCGTGATATCTATGTACTCGTATATCTTCACCCCGTCAGCTGTAAATTATGAAGTGGTGCATATAAAACATATTATGTTTCAGTGTCCGATATATGAAATGGTAACCGACTTAGTAGATTCCACGCTGAGAATGACCATGCAACGTTCCGGCGCTGTGCAGATTTCGGTATGAATAAATCTATTTCCTTAATAATATCGATAGCAAGAAAGAAAAAAAGAAAAACATTTATTGACAACCATTATATTCACATATTAATATAACAACAACTAAACATTGGGATACACATATATGCACACATACACACGCCTATATATATGTATGATACACGCTTACTTGTAGACACATAACAATTACAAAAAACATTTATGATCGTTTACAGTTGGCAACATGGCCGACACTCATTTACAGTGACAGCTGACTGTCGCGGCAAAAGACAATAAATATTATATAAATACAATTTAAAATGATATAAATAGTATTTAGATATAAGTGACTCGCCGTGCTGTGCCTAGGTGCTTATAAATTTTTATTATCTGTACCTATAGATAAATAATTAATTTTTTGCCGTATTGATCTATTTGTTTAAAAAGTGTTTTAACAACACAAATGTACCTAAACCGTACAATATTTCCCTTCATTCTAGCGCAGCAAATACCCACTAGGTTTCTATGCGATAGTAATAATTCTAGACAACGACAAAGAATGCACGGGAGACGAGCCAGCTTTAGACGATTGGCTATGGCAGGTGGCAATTGGCGGTAGTGAAAACCAAGGCCGTATTACGCCCTCGCGAGAGAAACAACTCACCATTGCCCTCAGGGTATGTTAATTACCTACTGTTGATTTTTTTTATACTACTATGTTGGCAAACAAGCATATGGGCCATCTGATGGTAAATGGTTACCTTAGCCTATGGACGCCTGAAACACCAGGGATGTCACGTGCGCGTTGCCGACCCTTAAGAAACCTTAATATACCCTTCTTGAAAAATCCCATGCTGTAGTCTCGTGAGAAAACCAACAATCTATCTATATACATATAGCCTTACTTTTACTATTACATACTATTATTTTACTGTCACATGCCTAAGACCCCCAGTGTATAATGCAAATTGAATATACACATGACATACTTAGGTCTGAACTCAACAACAATCTACAGATTTTCCATAGCTGAAGAAGAAACGCCTCTATACATCTTATGTGGCAGTAAGCCCACTCATTCATAAACTAAATATCTCTATTGGTAAGTATACACTCTATTCTGAGGAGATACAACTATCGCTCCTAAGAATATCCTTCAATTCTTGTCCCTAACGGGTCTAGGTAGCGAAATTTGAAAAGGGCGAGCACAATAGATCTATGTAGGTCACAGTGCTATAGGTCTTAGAGCCTGAACTAAGCCCAAAACCCTAATTAAAAAAAATCCCGTGCCTTTCTGGCATATATAAATATATACTTGATATATGTACATACAAGCTTCTGTTTGCCTTTCCTTTTTCTTTTGTTAAATCTCTGAAAACCTGTTATTTGCTTTTCTCTAGAAAAGTAACTATTGATTTTATGTAGTGGATTGTAAGCTGTTGAATTTCTAATAATAAATAAATATATATACATACTTCTTTTTCTTCCGGCCTTATCCCATTTTCATTAGGGGTCGGCTCTCCTAATCTGCCTTCTCCAGTGGTGTCTATTTTGGAATGATGCCGGCTCTACGTTTCCGTTGTCCTTAAGGTCCTTACTAATTACTGACATCCATGTTATTCGGGGCCGTTCACGCTATTTCGGTCCTGAATTGAGGTCGAGAACTTTTCTCGTCAAGTGGTCTTCCGGTCTCCTCATGACATGGCCATATCATCTAAGTCGTGCTTCCACTAGCTTATCCAGTATAGTATATGTATAAATATATATACATACTATATGTACTAAAACCAACTTATTTTCCAGCCGTCGTTGTCGCGAACGCAGTATATAATCGCATCTGTGGTCTCGTTTGTGGTATTCTTCGGATTCTACATCGCGTTCGGGGTGTTTGTACTGCTGCAGCGCTGGCCTGCCTTCGCCAAGTACGTGCGCCCAAAAGCCGTGCTCGTCAATAAGAGTGAGTATATATATCTAGAGGTTTAGTAGTAAAGGGATTTTGTATTGATGTAAGGAGATTTATTATCTGTAGAGTCAAGTTTCAGAAATGATACGTAGACGTAGCGGTTTTATTTTGCTTTTAAACGTCATTCCACATTAAGTGCGTAACTCAATTAGATATATAGGTACACTTAGTTATGACCAGACTAGGAATACACTTAATAATTTGTATTCCTAGTCTGGTCATAACTAAGAGATAAAAAAACAAATATTCTCACCATTGCTTAACTTTATATATACTTACAACTCCACTACTATTGATTCTAGCGTGATGTTATGACGCAAAGAACGTGGCTTTCTATTGGTACAAGAATTTTTAAAATCGGTTCAGTAGATCCAGAAATTATCCTCTACAATCTCACAAAGTTTACCTCTTTATAATATAATTATAGATTTACGTAACTTATTACAGGTACTGAGAACGGCGAATCTCAAGGAGACGGGATATATTCTGATGCAGAAACGCCAGCACACCGACGTGCCCGACGCGGATCTGGTAAAGTTTCCGAGATATTGTTAATAAAGTTGTGTCGCATTTCAGTAGCTTACTCGACTTACTTACTTAAATAATTGTTTATCAGTTTATATTTCTAGCTGCTGTTCAGATCATGGAAACAATGATAACAGTCCAAAATTAACGCGAGTAACGTAGGCTCGTCTCAAAAATATGTGTGGGTACCACATGTTAATGGGCAACATTTACATCTATCGTCCAAAAAAGGCCGAGCGAGAAGTAAGTGTTGCCCGCAGTATGACGTCGATAGTTGTCAATACCTCTGTCTACCCCATTTGGGGTGGTATTCGTGAAAGTAGGACTACTCTAATGCTGTTGGCCGCAGCTAACCATAATAGCATCACCGGACGACAGCTTCATAGGATAGTGCAAATGGCACTCCAAACCCGCGGAAGGACTTATTTATTTATTTCAGGCAAAAATGGCTCATACTATAAATACCCTATATGCTAACATACATATGAATTAATATTATACTAATATAAATTTGTCTCTGTGGTCACGGCGCTGACGACGGTAAACTGCCACGGTAGCACCGAAACTCCACCCCCTTCGACCAGTAGTCATGTTGGTGGGGATCTGGGAAACACGAACGCCTTGAAGCTCACTCTGTAACTTGACTCTACTGCGACCGATAACCTCATTATCAGGTTATGGAGTCGCTGCATCGCCGTAACCACCCACTGATCGATATAACTGTAGTCTGAGGGCACTACTAGGGATTCAAATCTCAGCTCAGGGCGTCGTAATTTCGATCTCCTTTTGAATTCGATGGGATATCGAAGGGTGAAAGTAGGTATATTGATTACACAATACTTCTTATTCCAGATGCAACATTCGACAGTAGCGATGACAGTCATTCAGATGAGGAACTGCCAACGGGGACTACCACCGTGTCTGCCACTCCTGCGCACCTCGCAAGTCCTGCTAGTCCAGCCTCACCTGCGGAGCCCAGGTCCCCCGTGTCCCCAGGATACCCGGTGACGCCCGGAGCCGCAGTAACCTTCTCCGCGCCCCCAGAAACTGACAATGGTGTGAGCCTAGAAAATGATCGACAACCGAACAATGAACAGGTTAGAATACACTATTAAAATCTATTTTTTTTAGTTTTGCTCGTTTATATAAATTTCAAATGACACTTTTTTTTTCATTTATAACTTCAATTGTCTGCACTACATATACGTATATTATTTTAATTTTCAGAGACACGTTTAAAATTTCTCAATTATCAAAACTCTATAATTATGTTTTTGCTCCGTTTGATGTTCGCTATTTTGTAAAGATGTAACCATCTTTACAAAAAAGAAGGCGCTAAAACGCAAAATTGAACGCGGTGGAAACCCCGAGCTGATGGTACGCGCGTTCTTTCTCGTTCTCTTTGTCTACATTTACATACACATTATTTCCTGTGTGAAAACCTGTTCGCCGGTGAAAGAGTGTACGAATAAAAGCAGCTATTACGCACATGCAGGGTGGGGCTGTCGATGCTGGCGACGGCAGCACGCCGTTCGGGTTGCCGTCGCAGCTCCGGCTGGCGGCGCTGTCCCGTAGAAGGGCGCGCGTACTTGAGGCGCGCTCCGACCGCTACCTGCAGACGCTCATCATCGTCGCCATCTTCTACGCGCTACCCGTCGTACAATTCGTCTTCGCATACCAGATGGTCAGTATTATTTTAATGGGATGAGAATGGAATGGTCCTCTAATAAAAGAGTACGCTGGCAGCACGAGTGGAGAATGTTAAGAGATTCATGTGGAGTCTGTAATTAACCGCGAAGATTTCGGAGAGAGAGGAAGACATTACTATGTCTTTCCCCTTGAAACTACATATACATATCTTATTAATATTAAACGCGAAAGTTTGTGAGGATGAATGTTTGTTACTCTTTCACGCAATAACTACTGAAAGAATTTTGATGAAAATTACAATAATATAGCTTATACATCAGAATAACACAGGCTATAAATTTCACGCGAGTGAAACCGCGGGCACAGCTAGTATACTATATTTGAAACTATATATAATTATAGGCAACGGAGCAACTATTCTTCATAGTTAACTTTCTTTTTTTTTATAAGATATGCCATAGATATGCCCTACTAAATTTGTCTTAATGGATTGACGTTGTATTATAGATAAAGATTCTGTTTTACCGTGCTGGTTTGTTGGAACCCTAAAAATATTAACAACTATAAATTGACACCCTGCTTGATTTGGAACCTGCTTGACAAGAATTGAAGGATATTCTCAGAAGCGATGGTTTTTATCTCCTCAGGATAGATTGTAAACTTTCCATAAGTGAGATACAACCAAAAAATTTCCCGACCCTTTAGAAACCTATTATACCCTTGAAAAATATGTCGATCACTTGTTGTCAGTTCATGAACCAGTCGGGCATGTTGGACGTGTGCTACTATAATTTCCTGTGCGCGCACCCAGCCGGCGATCTGAACGACTTCAACCACGTGTTCTCCAACATCGGGTACTTGCTGCTCGGCGCTCTTTTCATACTGCAACTGTACCGGCGTAAGCAGCGCAGGAAACAATTGCCAAGAGACGAGGTAAGCAGCGTCCAACTATACTTGTTCTCCATTTCCTAGCTGGATATTATTGGACTTTTCTCTTCAAATGTAAATGCTTTACTAAATTTATGATGTCATTTTTTTTCACAAATTATGTAGTTACGAACAATGCGTGATCTTCAGTTATCAATTATCCACTGAGACTCAAAATAAAAAGGTATACATACACCGAACTTCGTCGGGTATCATTACGTGTCTTATACCTAGACCCAATTTACTATAAATGTCTCACAATACACGACATAAACAGGGTGGGATAGAGGTAGGGTACAGTTTGTTGTTTAAAGAATGATATTGGACTAGTGCACTCGCCTGCGCTAACGGTATACGCATGTGGGGCACCAGTGGAGAATGTTACGATGAGTTGAGGTTAGGTTATTTAGACAAAATTTACCAAGAATTTATCACGATGGTTTCCAGGCGGAACCGCGTGGAGGTCAACCTGACAGGGTACATTTCTAGCAATAAAGATCATCAATCCACGTTACTAACAATCACCTACCCGGCGGGGTTGCGGCGGAATTGGGTACGCCTCTAGGCCGGACTCTTCCGACCGAAGTTGTCTAGTACTCGTAACACAAGCTCTGCTTGGCTTGGGACGAGATAGCGCTGTGTGAATTATCCAAGACATTATATATTATGTGGAATGTGTTCGGCAGGAGTACGGTATCCCGGCGCACTATGGCCTGCTGGCGTCGCTCGGTGTCTCCTTGATGGTGGTGGCATTGCTTTCCGCAACTTACCACGTCTGCCCCAACCGCCTCAACTTCCAGTTCGGTATGGATTAATATTTATTCAAATAAATAAAACTAAAGTGTCTGTTTGTAATTTGAAACTGACAGCTTTTCGAAATTAAAATCCTTTTTGAAAACCTTCAGTCTATGGACAATACGGATATAACTTAAAGAAAATACTCCAAGCAGAGATTCGGTCCCAAATAACAATACTATTATTTTTCTTGTTCCGTGGTAAATAGCAATGGTTTTGCCGCGCAATGACAGTAAATTCGCCACATATTGGTCTAGCACAGAGGTGAGAATACAATTTTGCAGGCCATATATTATATTTAGAATACATTCAGATAAAAAAATGTACTGAATTATTATAACATTTAATTTATTATCGAATTTCAGTTCGCACGACTAATCGAGCAACAAATAAACATCAATTGTTTTCATCTACTAAATGTCGCACAATTTCTGGTTAAAGCATACCACTTAATCGAATATCTAACAGCTCTAATAGTGACTTTAATTATATAGATTTATTCTCCAGTAAACTCTGCTTTCAAATTATGTAAAAATAACTGATAAACTGAGACGAAAATATCATAGCAAGTAACGTAATAAATGTTTAGGTATGTTTTCTCTGTCATATACATTATTTTTGTTCTTTTTTAGTATTTTAAAATCATTACTTTATTTGTATTGTAAATATACATTAGTATTAATAGTAGTGAAGTAATGAAGATAATATAACATGATTTCTGTAACATACCTTAGGTAGCACAGTGCTAAGTGTCGTGGATAGCGTTGCCCGACGTCCCGTATTTCCCGGGATGTCCCGTATTTTAAGATTATTTTAAAATATCCCGACGGGACTGACTCTGTCCCGTATTCGAATGATGCTGCGTTTTTTATTATTAAATCGAAATATCTACGCTAGACAATTAGTCTTTTCATAATTTGTCCCCGGTAAAAAACTAAATTCTCGTATTTTTTGCCCATTTAAGCGTTTGCTCCTTATAGGCTGAAATTTTTCTAGCAACTCTAGTCCTGGCTGCACGTTCCCTAAAAATTGATATAAAATAGCCTTAAGCCATATGTAATTACAATGTGAAACTGTTTGATACATGCCAGGGGGCAGTGGATCTTTGACACAACTGCTCTAGCCATGCACACAAATTCAGACTTTACTTTGTTGTGTATTTTTTTAAATTTAGAAAATCTCCGCATATAACAGTCTTATTACAGCTTTTCTTGTGTATATTGCAGACACAGCGTTCATGTACGTGATGTCGGTTTTGGCTATGGTGAAGATCTACCAGGCGCGGCATCCTGATGTCAACGCGCGAGCTCACTCCACGTTTGGCGTTTTAGCTGTCTTCATCGCCTTCGGTACGTATCTACTTCTGTTAGTGTTGATTATTGACAAACTAGAAAAAGAATATAGTATAAGAGTGATATTCGTTAGGGAAATGATAGGCACAACATATGAGTGTATACTGCTTATTGTAATCAATACTTATATATACTGCTTACTTACTAAGTACATGCATCCGTACAAGCATACTTAGTATTAACAAAGTCGAGTCGTGCACGCGAATCTGGCAAGGGTGTAATTTTTTTATGTGATATATCTGGAAGAGCCAACAAACTTGCAGCCGATCTGCTGAAAATATTGTTAATTTTCACTGTCCTTTATATATAATACATAATAGTAATAATAATATCCTTGGACAATTGACAGGGTTATTTATTTATTTATTACACAGGTGTGGGTGGAGTGCTGGGCGGCGGACCGTTCTTCTGGGCTGTCTTCACGGTGGTGCATGTATTCACTTTCTTGTTGCTATCTCTACGTATTTACTACATTGGACAATTCAGAATGGGTGAGGCAAATTTTATTTTATTTAACGATTTATGACACCACTTGATGAAGAATTTTTTTGATGATGATTGATGATAATAATGATGACGGCAGTTATTTAAACACAATGTACATCGTTATGTATACAAATATATTATATATTTTATCTATATACTCAATATAAATATATTCGATTAAAAAAAAATCTGCGGAGTTTCATCCTGGTTTTTCGCAATTGAATCTATACACTGATTTCAGTATATAGATGGACGGTAGGAAAATATTTATATTAATTCAAAAAACTTCATGTTCATATTCTGCCAAAATGTCCAAAACGAATAAATTATTTTTTAATTTATTTTATATATTGAAGTCTATTTGACATTTATCTAAACTTTAATCTTTTTAAAGTCTATTTTCCTTATATCATTACGGTCCTAGTGCTGAATGTTTTAATTATTTAATTAAACCATGACATCTATAGTTATTTTCACACTTTAATGATAGAGAAGTAGATAGGGTAGTACCTTCTACTTCTCAATCTTCGTCTCTTTATCTTAATTTATTATAATTATGACAAATGTCGCGTGTAGAAGATATTTATTTAATAATACAGTCTATACGCTGACGCGGTGCTCTAGGAATTAATCACAATAGTTTCCAGTGAGACCTCCGTTATAGTTAACCTGACCTGGTACATTACTAGCTAATGGGCCCTTGGCTGACGATCTGGTTAAAACCGTTGGATAGCATTGAATGCGAGCAGCGCAGGATCGATCGTCGTGGAGATTTTTGGGGGATATTTTTGTTCAGCAGTGGACGTCTTCCGACGAAATTTTGATGATGGGCCCATGTTACTAACGCTTCTTCCTCCTCCCTCCCAGTTTATTGACTTTTATATATTTAATGTTACAGAGACAAAGACACTACAAATAGCTGCGCGAGAATTGCGTTCAGTACCAAAGTCGGGTATTCGGCCGCTGTATACAGCACGACTCGTGATGCTGCTCATTGCTAACGCCGTCAATTGGGCTTTCGCGCTATATGGGTAACTATCTGTGCTGGCTCTAGTTATATTCGTCACATACCAATACATTAGAGGTTATTATATACTGTTTTAAGTTTGACGTAGTCATTATTTATAAGTATAATTAATAAATCACGGGATCTTACCATGTTTTATTTTTGTTGAGTTCCCGATATTGCGGCAGTGTTTTAATTAAACAAAAACATGAAACGCGATCACAAAGTGTATTAAGATGTGAAGATACTGTGAGTATAGTTTGCCGAGATGAATATCGAGCGAGTTCCAATAGTAGCAACAAACTAAGACGTGTGAAGGTAGACGAATATGCTGCCGCTGCTCTTCAGTTTATCCGTGATCATGGCCGTTGAAACACTGCCGAAATATCGGGAACTCAATGAAAATAAAACGTGGTAAGATCCCGTGATTTACTAATTATACTTATTATAGGTGGGAGTAAAATCACACTACAATGAATATAATGAATGTCAAGATACAAGCCACGGGACTGTGTTCCGACTGTATATCATGTAAAAGAAACAAACTTCTTAACATGGATTCACCATGCGGGAGCCGGGTCCATCCGTGTGCCAGAGAGGGAAATTCCGAGCAGTTCCCGGGACTTGTGACCCTGGTGTAAGTTTAAGGGGTCCTTGCCGACGTACGTCAACACTCACCTTCAGCGCTCGTGTTTCTTGCTGCATAGCCAAACCTGGTAGAGGCCAGCTAGTGGAGCTTTCACGTTGTAGTGTAGAACTTCTGCAGGTCTAGACAGGAAAATCTTTTAAAGATTCTAGAGATTTCGCTGGTATACCTCTCGCTCCCACGTCGACCACACATAATTTAACTACATAGCCATTTTGCCTGACTTGTTTATTTGTTCATAATATTTATTTGTTTTTATTGCAAAGTCTAAATAGCCAAGCATCTTACGTAGATATTGATTTCCTGGAAACAAGTTGCAGGTGTTATATTTTGGTTAATAGTTATATTAAACGTACTTTTATATTATTTTATCAACAGACTACTGATACAAAGTACAAACTTCGCTTCCCACCTTTTGAACCTGCTGCTGTGCAACACCCTTATGTACATGTTATTCTACCTGGTGATGAAGATAATGCACGGCGAGCGCCCTCGGTGGTACGTGTGGTGCTTCCTCGTGAGTGCTTTAGCAGCTTGGGCACCAGCTCTCTACTTCTTCACGTCAGGCAGTTCCAGCTGGTCCAGCATGCCGGCGCAGTCTCGCCATCTCAACCACGAGTGCTTAGTGCTGCAGTTCTATGATTCTCACGATCTGTGGCACATGCTGTCCGCCGTCGCTCTATACCTCAGTTTTAACACACTACTCACGTGGGACGACGGGCTCGCGGCCGTAAAACGAACAGAAATAGCTGTATTTTAAATATTTTGTTTAGTTATAAAATGATAATAAATGTTAAGGTATTGTTATTATGTTTTTTTTACTACCTTTCACTACTAAGCGATCTAACCTAGTTACAATTATGTGGTATGCTAGGGATATTCTGTTCAGTAGTATATAAGGAATAACAGGAATATTTGGTTTCTGCCTTTTTAATAAAAATGTATTATCAAAATGTAGGTAGCAATTACAATAAAGACACTGAATGAAATTTTTTCTACTGATGACGGGAATAGAGAATCTCTGAAAACGGTTTAAACTAAATACATATACTTTATTCTCGTCCCGACCATTTAATCGCGTGTCGATGCGTGCTGATCAATTGACAAAAATAAATAAACCACGTATACATAGAATGTCAACATCTATTCAATTATGATAGTTTGAACTAAGTGACAATATTATGGTTTGGATGTAACTATATTGTACAAAATTGGCTACCCAACGCGCTGCAGTTGTAAAACAGTCGTTACCTACTACGTTTTCAATACAAACTTAGATTTTGCTAGCTGTAACCGCGACTTCGTCCCCGTGGAATTTAACAAAAACAGTTTTTTTCTAAAATAAAAGTAGCCCAAGGCACGTCAAAATCGAACCAGCTATTTCAGAGATTAGTCGGAACAAACAGACAGACAAAAAATGTAAAAAAAAATATTTTGGTGTATGTATCGTATTTATTTATTCATATGCATGTAGTAAAAACCGGTTATTTCAGTATTACAAACAGCCATTCCAATTTTATTTAAATATATAGGTATATAGATTAATTATTTTAAAAGTATACACTTAATGCATTAATATTTAAACTGAACTAAAATTTTTATTCAATCTAGATTATATGTTTGATTAAATTTTATAAGAAAGTTAATATTTACAGCGTTTAGGTTTTGCAAAATTGTGAACTTTGGGTTAAGTTAACTTTTTAACTTTGGTTTAAGTTGTATTTTGACATTGACATCTCTGATTTGCTATCTGTCTATTTGCGGGTGATTGACGCAATGACGTCACGTCATCGGTAGTTTGCGACAGTTCACGTTCTCATTATTTTTATTTCGCAATTTCGAGAATATCGACACAGTTTCAATGTTTTAACATACAAGTTCCCAAAAGTGATCATATTAAGGAAAAAACAGAATGGATAATCAATATTATTACAAACTAATGGCGAGTTACTTGTCCAAACGGAACTGTGATGAGTCGTTCATGAGATACTTTTTCGGTAAGAACTCGTTAAAGAAAACACCTGAAGAGTTAGAACGAGCTGATGAGAGAAAGAGAAGACTGCAAAGAGAACGATCACGACGGTATCGTGCATTGAAGAACGCCCGGCGACAGCACGAGGGTGGTAATAGTGGCGGCCGGGATAGTGGAGATAGCGACGGCAACGCACTGCGAACTAAATCAAGAACGCTGGTACTCGAAGAAGAGTTCAGCGATGGCGATGAGCCGCCGACGCTGTGTGATCTTAACTACGAAGAGAAGTGGATCGGCGGTGGTGCTTCAGACTGTGCCTCTGACGATAACTCGGCGCATTCTGCCGCCGAACTTAAAGAAGCACCATTATCAACAGACGTGTCCCTCAGTCTAAAAGAGTTCTTAAGCTCACCCAATGCCGAATTGGACTACCCTACTGTACACAGCCTTATGTTTCATTGGCTGCAGACGTAACATCATCCCATTTTGCCTACAATGTTACAGGTTTTGTGTAGGATTGGCTCATATCATATTAGAACTCAAAATTCAAAATTTTTTAATAATCTAATGCAAATATGATTTGTTGTATTACATTGTATATTATTTTATATTGTATTGGTTACAAAGTCATAAGAATTCATGTGGTAGTAATGCACATATCATTGTAATATTTTACAACCAACACACATCAAGTTGATAAACCGTCCTGCTATAATTTTAATCTGACTAATTAGAGAATAGTCTTTACATAATTTAGTTGTAACCCAATAACTTTGAATTTAGTGGCTTGAGGTTTTCTAGCCATTTTTATAGAATTGCTTCCAACATTAGTATCACTTTGTGGTATAGGACATACTTTAGTAAAGCAAATGTTTTGCTTACAAATGAGTGAATAAAAATTTACTTCATTATTATTTATGCTAATTTGTTGGCACAGTTAAAAAATGTTTTGCTATAATTGACTGATTTATTTGCTGTATCTGAGAAACTGAGCGGTTTAGCTTCCCTAATTTTATTATACCATTGAGATTATAATTCTCAATTATGGTTGCATAGAATAAGATTCAATAATGCAACATAGCCTGGTGGCTAGGCTAAACTAGTTTGTAGATTATTCCACTAGACAATAAGTTGTTATTAAGTTGCCATATCCTAATATTTAGATACTCAACTATTATACATAATTATATATGCATAGAGAAGTATAGAGTATATATAACTATAGTTTGTGATACAAATGAATTTACATTTTGTGTGAAATCTACAATGTTAGTTGTAACATTTAATGTAAGTAACAATATACAACTGTTTTAATACTATTCAGTTGTAACAATGTCTTTCAAGTCTATTTCTGTTCAGTTTGATTCTCATATTAAGAGTGTTTATATCAAAGTTAGCCAACATTAACATTATCTATCAAATTTCAAGTTTAACAAGTTAAATGTTTCTAAACATAATCTCTAAATATATGTTCAGTGTTAATTTCATCACAACATTGACAGATAACAATGTCTCTGGCTATCCCATTTGTTTTCCAGGTGGTTTAGTATTTATGGGTTTAAAATTTAGACGGATATTGTACATATTGGTTGCTTCTTTGATATGAACTCTCTTGAAGTCTATAATTTTTGTAGCAAAACATTCCTGTATTAAATGAATACTTAATGCTGAATAATTTCATAATAATCATGTACTTTTTTTTATAAAATGTAAATTGAAAACTCAAGTCAAAAATTATAAAAAGAATTCTGATTAAAAATTTGCATTTATTTTTTAATACTCTTATGTACTTTGATAAGCTCTCTTTATATTGTTAATTGCTGAAACATGGCATAATGTAAGACTGTCAGAGACTATATATTTTACTACTATAAGTAAAATGTATAATTTTTGTCTATATTTAACTATTAATAAATTTATTGTGTAATGCTCAGTAGTAACGTCAGTTTAACTTTCACTGCAATGAACCTTGTTCTTTTACTTACACAGGTGAACTTGAGTTTAAAATGTAGGGTTTATTTATAAATCATAACATTTTACTTTCCAGTACTAGCACAGCTTAAGCGGTTCTTTGTTGACTGCTTTTTACAGGGCCTCTTAAAGCACATACAATTTATATTTCTATACATTGAAGTTACAAATGAAGTTGCCATCCATTTTGTTAAATTTATAAGAGTACTTTTAACATTACATATTTTATGTGATAAATGTTTAAAGCGCCATTTTGTTTGCAAATTTTGGAAATTTACTTTTATACTAGGTATATGATTTTAATTTTTATATTTAGTATTATGTTTAGTTACTTAAGTTTTTTATATAGATACTAAGCATTTCTATATGATATGTAAGATCGGAATTTATGATAGAAAAGCCCTTCCTTAAAAGATATGCAAATATTTGATGTATATTTAAAAGTACCGAATTTATTTCTTCACATAATGTACAAGGCTATGTTATAATAAGTACAGACCATAAATATGTTCTCCTATATTCCATTATAATTAAGCAAGACTAGGATATGATTATGTTCATAGTTGAAATGTAAATTGAATTGCTACATTTAATCATTTTAGAGAAATTCTTTCATGCATAGTTATAATTTTAAATTGTTTAAAGCAATAGATAGTTAATATGAAAGAGTAAGGGGTGTCCATTGTCATTATATTTTTATGTTAGAAATTATTATTAATCCGCTAAATGAACAAAATACTAACAAAAACTATTTTCATATGTTGCTTGTCTGAACTGGGGTAGAAAACGCTCGTTTTATTTTTTTATTTTATAAGTATTTGTGAAGGATACACTTTTGTACCAATCAATTAAAACGAATTCCCTGATATCCATGGAATTACTACATTATAAAGAATTCTCTGCAGTATTTGTTACATAATAATATTGCTTTGATTTAAGCACAATGGACGCGTCTTAATAGTGCATTGAAGTGTTTTTGTCAGCCTACCCTCAATATTTTAAATCAATCTTTAGAGAATATAAAACAGTGCCTCTAGATGGTGTAAGTTGTTAGAATACCCACATGTTATTGTCAGACACAAGCCATATTATGTTAGTCTAGTTGTAAGTGTACAGTAGGCAGGCAGTAAGCACTCTATACATGAGCAGGGTTATAATAGCCCAATGGTTATACATTCGTCTAAGGTGCTTTTAAATTCATAGTAAGTAACATAGCCCAGATACCCTGTTATGTTTGTGAATGTTAAGTACCTATTAGAACTTATCTACTAGTGTTAGGCTAACAAACTCTATTTGTCAAGCGTGTTTCAATTATGTGATGTAGCGGACACGAATTGGGCTCACAGGAATAATGACGCACGCTCCGTAGAAGGTTTAGGTGACAGTGGACAGTCTTGTTACATCTATATTTAAATTATTCTGAGTACAGTATTCAAAAGTTTCCGGTCGAGAGAAAATTATTGACGAAATTATACCCTGGCTCGGGACTATTATATCATATCGTACATAAATTTTCACTTGTTTTTCTTAAGCACACCGTAAGTTGATAATAAATCTTCAGTATTACAGCGGTGTAGACGATTTAACGTAATGAGTAGCGTTTTCGCGTATCCATCTTTTCGCTATCACTTGTCTACATTTTACTTTCGTGTTCGTATACATCACACGCACGTATATACATATGTGCGTGTATATACATATATGCAGATGACACACGCAGGGTTAAAATTAATGCTATTCATTGAAGAAGTCATTGTAAGCAATTTAGCGAATATAATAGTATCATGACATCCAGATTTATCTTAATGATAGATTGCATTCTGTAGATATATAATAAACTTTCCATATGTGCCCTTAGTCAAGTAGAACAAATCAACAGTTGCGGTTATTCAATTAAAAAAAAAATATTGTCTATTTGTGATGTAGGTCTATGGTGAGTCACAAACGGTGCAGATACTAGGATAATGTGTTATTTGCGAATATATGGTTAAAAGTTTTGTCCTAAAAAACTATTAGTTAGACATCAACACCGAGTTTTCAGGAGTGATAGAAATTGGTTCATAATTCCCGTAAATGCAGTCAAATTGTTTAAACTAGATGTAAGTCTGCAACTGTTAAAAATGAAATACAACTAAGGAACTACCCTTTAAGTATAAATCTGTACACGTCTTTACAACCTTGTAATCATAAACTTATGTAGCAAATATTCTTAACAGATAAATACCCAATTCTACCGTCTGCATCAATTCATTGAGAGAAGTTTTATATGCATATATGAATGTATGAATTCATTATATATATGTATACACTTTTCAACACACCATTCTTTACTTTACTTTATTACTGCACCGTGACTACCTTCAAACCTACAAAGAACAATTTTTCTCATAATTTAAATAAAAATGTACTAATATTAATAACATGAACAAAACTCCTTCCGCCGCTGTTTTTGAGTTATATAGTTTTTTTTTAATTATTTTATAACCTGTAAACATCTGAGACATCTCATAGAGCTGTTATTTGCTGGCAGCTCTTTAGATACTATTGTAATATTCAAGTTCAAGACATTATAGTGTTAGCAAGAAGTGCATTGGGAAGCGAAATAATTACAATTTGATATTCATTTTTATTAATGCCAACTTTTCTCCTCTAATTCAAAGGACATTTTTATTTATTTTCATTATGCTTAAATGTGAGTATCTATACCACACAAAAGCTAAGGTCTGTGATAAATCAAGGCAAAGGAAAAAAATGGACATTTTTTTAGTAAATGTCATTAATTTATAATACAAACTATGAAATAATTATTACTACAATGGTATAAAAACCTTTTTTGTATTTATGCTGATAGAATTAACTTTTTACAATGTGACTTGTAGTCCTATATTTATGTATAAATTCATTTATATCTTTACAATGCACTTCTGCTTGTGCCAGCGATGCCTTCAACGATAGTAGTGTGTAAATTAATGCTTAGTTAGGTAGGTACTGTAAGGTAGTGCCATATTAAAGAGCTTCCTGACTATTTTTAAACAGTGTTTCATTACCTTTTTGGTTATTTAAACGTCCTATATTGTTCTTCCACCATGTTGATAGATTGTGATTATTTTTAATAATTGATGATGATGACTTATAAGATAATGGATTAAAGTCTGGTCAATTTAAAATAAACCAGAAATACTTGTATTAATCGAATTTCAGACCATCGGAAAGTAATCAGTGGAATTAAAACGCCAAGAAACTTTGAAGAAAATTATAATTGAATAATAGAAAATACTTATCATTATAATATTAATAAGAAAATCAGTATAAAATTATAGTAATAAAATATGCAGAAACTTAAAATCCTCAAAGGATACTCATACATAATTAAAATTCTGTCAAAATAAATTATAATTAATACAATAGCTAGGTGTAAAATTGTGTTTCTATTAAATAACAATAAAATATTAAAATAACAATTAGGTACATAGGTTTAATGAATAAATACTGTATTCATACTGAATAGATTCCAACCACGAGTGTTTATAATAGCCACTTTAATCGATCCATAATTTTTTTTTACTGCAGTTATAGGTTGTTTTACATAATTAAGTTGTACATAAGAGTTAATATAATTTTAACATACAAGTGTAATTGTGCCATCTGAACTAGTATAAAATTATACTGTATCTCAGATCTAAATCATTCTTTAGTACAACTCTGGAAACAACAAACAAACGTTTTAGCGCGTATTTTAATAGAGTGACTATTAAAATCAAAGTTTGCCAAGTATAAAGGAATTTAGTATTACGACTGTGTAAAGTAGCTATTACAACGCCGACAAGCGCCTAAACTAAACCTTTTTTTATGAAATTGTTTTATATTATAATTCACACGATCTGAACTCCAACCTGATGAAAAATGGAAATTATCTCATGAATATTATTCGTACTTCAAGAAATATCTTATTAAATTATAAACGCGAAAGTTTGTAAGTAAGGCTGGATGCTTGTTACTTTTTCGCGCAAAAATACTGAAAGGATTTTGATGAAACTACAGTAATATAGATTATACATCAGAATAGCATATAGGCTATAAATTTAAAACGGTGAAACTGCGGGTACAGCTATATTAAATATATTGTGAAGACCGTAGTGATCATTTATGAATTGCTATTTCCTGAAGACTAACTTGTCTTCCAAATCCTAAAATTTTACCGCTATAATGTATATAAAGTTAGTATGTTCCGGATCTTAACTTGATCTCATATTTGAATGCAAATGCGAACGTATCACAACAAAGATTGATACTGTAATAGGTTCTAATTTGAATAATTCGCCCACGCGAATTACTTCTTACCAATGTCAGTCCGAGCTTACTTATACTGCATGAAAGTTCACATATGTTGTCATGGTTGTTTTAAATGATCCAATATATATATATATATACCGCTTACATGATAATCATATCTATCATCATTCATCACAGGCCTTCCTTTTCCATTAATTTCTGGTCGGCGTAATGTTTTTCTCTTCCATTCTTCCCTGTTCTTAGTCATCCCATGTAACTACTCTCTTTCTTGCCATATCATCTTTCACACAGTCAATCCACCTCTTTTTCGGCCTTCCTCTGCCCTTATAATCATCTACATTCATACGTAATTCTTTCTTTTAAATGGTCTCTTCATTCCTACGCATTACATGTCCATACCCTGACAGACGATCACTTCTCCAACACTGGCGCCATTTATATAAACAAGCCCTCGTAAATTAGCAAAGGGTACGTAACGTCTTAAAAATTCAAACATTAATACTTGTCTATGATATACATTGTAATATCTTTGCAAATAAGCAAAGTTGAGTATGTACAACTAGTGAGATTAATCAATAAGTACAAGTAGGTACGTAGGTACGTTATATAAGCACTTTCACACCATGTGTTAAGACATAGCCATGTTACATATATATACTAAAAGATTAATATATCTAAACGACATAATAACGTAAGAACGTAATGGTTAATTAATAAATCATCATCGCTTAAGAATAAAATTATATTATTTCAATAATTTAGAGATTGAATTTAAAGCAGTCAAGAATTTAGTATTAAATCAATGAAAAATATAAAAGAACGTTAAAATTACATTTGTAATTTATATTATATCCACATAATAACACTTACTGCAACTAAATTGCATTACCAATCTCTTAGTTATAATGCAAAATGTGATTAAAATATAAATTATACATTAATAAATACTATATTTAATTTACTTATAATACATTTTAAGGCGATCAGTTATTATTTTCCCTCTTTTCTGCGCTCGAAAGGTGAGTGACTACTAAACAAACTTTAGAAATGAAATCTTTTTCTGTACAAATTGACAAATTAAATTACCAACAGAGTCTAGATTCTTATTAATAAACTCATAGTTTGCGCAAACTAGATACTTTTTAACATCTTCTATACATAACTAATGAAACGACCTCTATTACTAATATCAATAATAAATAAAATTCTATTAATGCCTATACAAACACAGCCATTGATAATTTGGTAACCTATATATAAAACCGTTATATTTAAAAACGACTCCTATTTCTTAAAGGTCTATTACACTACCAAATATACCAGTTCATCAGTTATGAAGATTCCGCACACTTTTGAATCTTGCTATACCTGAGGACTAAACTAATGACATAATGTTTTGTTATACAAAATAAAGGGAACATCACCTACGTATATATATATATATATATATATATATATAGTTTGTACAGTGTATTCTGAAATATCCGTAGACAGAGAGTGGAATAGACCCTTATATTTAATGTAATGTGCCACTGTCATTTTGGTTGTGAAAACGTTACAAAGTCTGGAAACTTACGTACATCCTTATTGTGTTTACTTTATTATTCTACAGAATAAAGTATTTTTTATTTATAGAAATGGTGAAAAATGGTTTCTGGTTTTTGTAAATGCTGTGAAGGATAGTGCACTAATGCCATAAGACGAATTCTTAACTTTCAACCCCAGCGATAACATTGTTTCAGATTTCTATATTGTTTCAGAGGGTAAACTTTTGCCAGAATCGAACTGAAAACAAGTTCATAAAAAATATATCTGAGTCTTTTGTTAGAGGCCATACACGATCTCTGTGTAGGTACCAAGTTAAAGCTATAGAGTGAAGATATAATTATATGAAAAGACTTAATGGCACAAATGCGCCGTCCTGTTGCGCGATCTGCATTTGGTACTGACCACAAACTAGTCATCACTTGACGCTCGCTACGCTTGACGTAACCAAAATACTAATCACACGATTATCCTACATACAAGAAATGATTCTTAAAAACATAGCGATAAAGTACATTATTATGAAATAAATATTATAATAGCATCAGAGTTTTATACTTGCACATTTATTAAAAAATATGTGTAGGTGTACTATTACGTTATTATTAGGTTTTTAAAAGTTGCGTCAACTTTTTTAAATACCAGAAACTATTTCCTATAGACGTCTATATTATTTTTGTAATATGTCGGTGATTAAAAAGGATTGCCTAATTATGCTATAGACCAAGTAATGTGCAGTCGTTCGACTGGAAACACTTGCTGTAAACGAAACAGTACACTATGTACCTAGTAGCATTTTTACATTTTTTCCAACTGTAAAAGTTAATAAGACAGTATTAATGAATGCGCGTGCGGTTCTGAGCGGGTGAGCACTGCGCAGTGCTCGGCTGGCGACGGCGGCGGCGGCGGCGCGCGTGGGTGCACCACGGTCGCCGCGCACTCGGCCACTCGCGCCCGCGCGCCTCCAAACAAATACCACACACTCAACACTGCCAGTGCACATTTTTGTTTTGGCGTATCATGAAGTCTTGCACCATGTACAAAATCACTTATGTCACCAGAAAAAAACAGGTAATTACAATGTTTCAACGCTTAACGGAACCTGCCAATGAATTACACTGCAATTGGCGATGGAATGCATAACTTTCTTTAATTTCTACTGGCCGTAACATATACACTGTTGAGCAGCACATTTTTAACTGATCGGGATAAGGGGAATTTGGAACTGTCACCTTCATCACCACATAATCCATTGTAATCATCAGCATTCAATGAATAAATCATAGCACCACGTAAATTATTTTCTTTGATGTAATTCGCTTTTTCCATAACGCTTTTTGGTGTATCATATGATACCCATTCCTTATTGTTATAGAGATATGGCACCTTCGCATCTTCATCTTGTTTGACTGTCACAGTACTGTGGCTATTTATGTAAGTACATATATCAGGGTAGTTAACAAATCCAAGGCCTCCAAGTGTACCATAGGAGAATGCAGGGCTGCCTACTCGGGTATTGTCAGCGTTAACCAAAGTGAAAGAATGTCCATATGTTGGAATACCAACTACAATCTTGTTACGGTTAAGTCCTTTATTCAGGTACATATTTACAGTGTAGTTGATGTTAAGTGTTGCCATGTACATTTGTTCAGTCGGTCTTGCATACAATGGGGAATTCAATCCAGTGAATGGTGTGAATTTAGTGAAATAATGAAAGTCGTAAGTCATAATATTTACAAAATCAGTATACATATTCAACTGGTCTATGTCGTAGCAAACATCGACTAGTGTCTCTGGAGCTGCTACAGCTACTGTTAACAAGTAATCCCGTTTCTCTCTAATGTATTCGCTTCGAATCTCATGTAACAGCTGTGAGAAGTGTTGTCTCTCTCGTTTTTGCAACTGATATTGAGAGTTGTGTATAGCTGGAAACTCCCAATCCAAGTCAATACCATCAAGTGTATAATTTCTTAATATGTACTTAATCGACCTAATAAATATCTTTCTAGACGCATGGTCTGCTACCATTTCTGTGAAACCATTATCATTGCCAGCTCCGCCCACAGACAACAACACTTTTAATGTAGGATTTATCTTTTTTAAATTCACTACTTCTGATAGAGTTTTGTATTGTTGATCATCTAGTGATATGGTTTTGTTCACAACACGCGCAAATGCGACATTTATGTGTGTACACAGGTGTGGGTGGATGTTAATAGGCATTAACTGATTGCTGTCTTGGCTATTAGGAGTATCGTAGTAACATGAGACCACCTTGTCATCAACTCTGCCTCCACTCACTTCTTGTTGCACATTCAACAATTTGTAGTACCCATTATTTTGTACCTGATTCTCCGAGTAGATCGCAGCACGTATTACGGACTTTTGTAGGGTATGTAGAGTTAAGGCATCAGTATTGAGTCGAGGATAACACAGAATAATTGCACTTATAATAACTGAAATCAATATGAGTGGTAGTAAACATACCAAACAACTACTTCGTCGGCTTTTGGCACTAGAACTGCTGGGATGTTCGTTGTCAAATATGGGGCCATATTTACTCACGTCACCACACTTATTGAGTTTAAGCATTTTAATGAATATGTAATATACTAATAATTGAGTTTATTAGTAAAAATACTGGCAATAACGAATAAATTCAATAGCATTCACATGCACATACGCAGTAAGTAAATCACAAAGGATTATCTTAGTCACGTCTAACTAGGAATTTAATACTCATATTATAATACATGCAATCAAGTACATATTTGTTTACAATATGATAAAATACGCATACGACTTAACTATGTATTTTATTTATTTATATTAAATTAAATTTTGCTATTGACATGTCAATTTATACAAACTGTCGGAATTTTGAATGCGTCATTTTCATTGTCATATTTTCAAGATAGCAGCCATAGTCTGTCAGTTTGTTTTTTTTTTAATTATATAAACTATTACATTCATTTGTTATTTTATGTCATCACTTGTCTATCTAATTGTAGTATTTTCAATCACCTATTACTTATGGATTAGTAGTAAACCCCTTTTGTTTTTTCTTAATTTTTTTATTGTTTTAAGAGCAAATTTTTGTATGTTTTGTCATTTCGGAAGTGATTGACTTTTGACATTAACACTGATATATGACTGACTTTTGTCCTTGTAGTGGCACATGACATGACCTACAGACGACCCCCTTTCATTCATTCATAACAGGTTTAGATAGGTATTAGATATTTATTTTCAATGTCACACTTTTGTAATTTCATTCTATATGAGTTATTTTGTTTGCAATAAAAGATGTAAAATAATAGCAGCGATTATAAACTAACGATAAATGCATCTCATACGTACTACATGGGGTCTGTAACTATGGATAGCGCTTGTATGAACCATTATGAAAAACAGCTGTACACAGTGTTTAAGACTTTCGACGTAGATAATGAGGAGTCTCTAGACAGATCAGCAGTACTGAAGCTGTGTGACGCGTTGCAGTTGGAAGACCGCGGTTCGGCGCTTGTTGATACGCTGTTTGAACGCTGTACTGAACGTGTCACCTTCGCTCAATTCCGCAACGGTCTACTCTCTGTGCTTGGAGGCGGAGATACCGCGCCTATATCACCAACTAAGCACTCTGCAGCCGACACATCACCGACTTCGACTTCCTGTGCTGCGTCTGCTACAGTTCCGGTTTCTTCTCACAGTGACGACGACTCTTCTGGACGTGAGGTCGCCCCGAAGTTCGTATTTGGCTCAAAAAAATACGGACGGCGCTCAAGACCACAGCGTTCGCCTACAGGTTCAGACGATATACACGCGCCAAGGGCTGCTTCAGTTTCACGACTTGATAGTGATAACAAACGAGCCAGAAGCTCTCAACGAATGAAGCATCGACGCAGTGCGTCCGCAATGGAGAATCGTGATCATCAATTGAATTATGACGATGAAAATGCACATAGTGACCTCGAACATGACAGACATATAAACTGTGAACAAGCAATTGCTCTATGTTGCGAATTAAGAATGGATGGTATAGATCGTAGACTTGTTGAACGTATATTTGAAGAGTCTTCTTCTGCAGAGACTACAGTAGGTGAGTTCTTTGAACGTCTTAATGTATCACTAACATCATCCATTCAAGATACACAGGATGTAAGTACCGCTGTACTTCACAGTACCTCAGAGTCATCATTGAATAGAGATTATACAGTTGATGATGAGACAGGAGTCCCCAGTATGTTAGTCATTGAAGCTTGGGAAAATGCAGGTGTACCTCGACCACGGCACTTATTGTTAGAACTGGGGTTTACAGGTCCATTTGTTCGACCACCTGATATAGAAAATGCACTTGAAGATGAAATTCGAGCACTACCTGAACCATTAAATGAAAGAAGAGATGCACATGCAATGCTATTAGTAGCTTGTCTAGAACTTTCTCGGCTGAGATTAAAATATGCAAAACGGCGAGCAGAAGTAACTGCAGCTGAAAGAGATAAGTTGCGAGCTGATGTTGTCGAGGCGAATAGACGCGCTTGCTTATTAGCACAGGATGTTGATGAAAGCCATGCTCGAATGGAAGCTGAGCTAACGGCAAACGTGCGCCGTATCGAAGCCAAACATACTGAGGCCGCAAAACTCGCTGCAGCAGAATTAGCAAGTGAACGGGAACGTGCAGCTGCTGTAAAAGTTCGTTTAGAAGCAGAGTTAACTCGACGTACCGAGAATGAGGCACGACTGCGGACTGAAATGGAAATTCATTCATCAAGGGTTATAGAATTAGAAAATAGAGTTACAGGAGCTGAGGGCCGCGCATTAACTTCAGAGAGGGAAGCAATTCGTCTGACTGCTGAGTTAGCAGAAGCTGTTGCCAGTCTGAATCACAAGGAGGGTTCGGGACAGACTGAGGCAGAACATGCATCGGCAGCGGAACTTGCAGCACAGTTCGATGAGTTACGTCGAGAGAATAAGCTGTTGCGTGACCGAAATGATGAATTGTGTTGCGCACTGGAAGCAAGAACACGTGATGGAATGGCCCCGGCTGCCATTTGCGGGGACCTTTCGGCAGAGCTGGGCTCATTACTGGCACCCGAACATACTGAGGTAAGCTCATTAAATAAGTATATGTAGGAGTATACTCCAGAACACTATAGATAAGAACATTTGTTAGTTAATAAAATAGACTGTGCCCAATATTTATTCTACCATTAATAAAGTTAGTGATATAATATTAATTTATTAATCTGTCATAGTATCTCTGACTAAACTAAACTGTTTGGATTCTTAAAAAAAAAGGTTTGTCTGTCAGGAATATTGCTCTAGTGCATATAACCATAATAATTATCATTTTACATTTTCATCAAACATTTAACCAACATTCACAATTAACTTGAATAACACATAATACTATAAATAAAACATGTAATAAGCGTAGTGACAGTAATTTTGTAATAATAAATTAAAGTATTATTTTTCTTATGTACATTACAGGAATGTGATTCATCACCAACTAGCATTGATCAGAAAGTGATCGGGCACGCTGAAGCGGCTCGGCGATTACGCACCATTTTTGATAATGTTCAGACAATATCATCTTCCAAGAAGAAGCAATGCCAGTCATGCTCCATGCTTGAGACTATAATTGCAACCATACAGATGAAGGTTAGAGAATTGAGTGACTGTGTTATCTTGATGGAGGATGTAGAAATGCCACTGTACAGTACTGTCGAAACCTCCATTCAAACTGACTTTGGACCAACATCAAACATTGAATCAGTGCACGATGTTAATTTAATTAAGGAGATGGATACACTAAAGCAGCAATTCAAAGAAGCTGAGCATAGACACAACAGTGAAAAACAAAAGCAATCAAATATAATAAAGTGAGTATTCTTTTTGTCTTCTTTTCTCCACCTTCTTTGTTAAACTCTTATAAATCATTAAATTTAATATTTACAGGGAGCTTGAGACTAGTTTGGAGCAATTGAAAGCAGAGTATGATAAGTCTGAGGAATATTGGAACAACAAACTGGAGGAAGAACGCGATATGTACAACGAGGAGCAGCGACTAGGCGATGAACGGCTCACCGAGCTGGTCGCTAAGATTTCCGAATACGAGCGGCAGTTCGCGCCAGTCGGCGGCGCTCTACCTACCATCGAGGAGAAGTGCGGTCTCGAGGCGCAAGTCGCCGACCTCGAAGAGGAGTTCGCCACTTATAGAAAAGCTAAGGAGGAAGAGCTCCGCATGCGGGATACTGAGATAGCGCGTCTGAATGAGCAGCTCGAGTCGCTGCAGCGGCGCGTCGATGCAAATACCGAGGCGAGACGGAAACGTGACGGGGGCGGGGGTGGTACGAGTGGGGGCGGTGGTGGTGGAGGTGGGAGCGAAGGGGGTGGTGGGGGGTGCTCGTGTGTATCGTTGGCGGAACGCTGCGGACAGTTGGGAGCTCGATTGGTGGCGGAGAGAGGCGCGGGCGCTAGGGAAGCTGCGGCTCTAAGGGCGAGGGCGGCGCGAGCAGAGGGGCTGGCGCGACGTCTTCACGAGCGTCTAGCGGCCGCCGACTTGCTCGTGAAGGATTTGTACGTTGAGAACTGCCACCTCGCGCACCGCCGGCCGCTGTGACAACGCGACCTCCACTCCCGTATGTATCATTCCAAAAAAAGGCCTAAGACTGGCGCCGTTTAATGTCTGATATGTCGATAGAATATTCACGCATATTATAAATCTGATGATTAGTGTCTGTCAATGAAACTATAGTCTGGTATTGGAACTAATAATAGTAAATTATATCAAACAAAATACGGCGCCGGTGTAAATGATTTCTTTTTAACGGCTGGTAATGACATTATGTCAGTGTTGTGATAAAAGAGTTTTGTTTATTGTTACGATTTAGCGGTGTGCTGATCACTGACGCTGCCCATATCTTTATATCTATATTATGTATCTATGTAAATATGTAACTATACCATAGAGTTGATTTATAAAACTATTTTAGAAATAATATTGTATCATGTCTCTCTTGCGGAGATTTATGAATTTTGACATAAACATATATTTATTAATAATAGGTGCCATTCAAGGAATAGAAACCAATAGAAAATAATTATGTTTTTATATTGCTATCATAAGTACAATTTAAGTCGTTGGACATATCTTTTCCCTTACTATTTTATTGGCAGCTTGATTGATTAGCAACTCGTGAAATTAATATTAAATAGCAGTAAGATGCTTGTTCTCGTATTCAATGCAAGCTGACTGGCAATGCTGTAGTGCGTTAGTAGAATACACACATAGTTGGTGATATGTACCTAAGTCAATTTAATGTCTATGTGTGTGCAAAAACAATTTTTACACATGTTAGATATGTACATTACCAGAGACTATATATTTTACTTTTCGCAGACTAAAATATATAGTCACTGACATTACTAAATGTATAAAGCAGACACCGTGCACTACTTACTATAGGACGCAACGTATGTTATGCTGAGCATTGTTAAGTTCATGCATATTGTAATTATTTTATTTTAAGCTCTATATACTGTGTACGGCTTTACATATCTTTGCAGGATTATTTAATGCCTTTAATGATGAAGTAACCTACGAACGTGCCTTTTAATATTACGGGTTTTAAATATTAATATTTTAATTAAAATCATCAATAATTGAAAAGCCCGCTGTGAATGGCGAGATGCGATCTAACAGTCTATGTTCATGATACAGGAGTGGGGAATGATGACTTATTTAGTTCCTTTACTTGTAAAACAAAGTTGTGCACTCTTATCAAATCGGGCTCTAAATCTCAAATATTTAACACATTTAACTCATTAACAAAAACATTAGAGCAACACGAACTATCAGTCAAATGGACGCACGATATTACAGTACTTTTTTAGACTACTGCTTATTTTCAAGACCCTAGTAATACGCAGTAACTGAAGCTTTGTCATTTGAAGACATGTATAATATTTACTCATACTGTATAATAGGTCAAGTTTTGGTGGCATTAGTTAGTTTGTCAATAAAAAACGTATGTCCTACAGCAGGAACACCACACACAAATCGGACGCATTATAGAACAGTCTCACATTGTTCCCCACTGCTATATCGCATCTAAGACTTTAACTAAGTTTACAAACAACTGTATAATATAAAAATATATCGACTCGAATATTTGTTCCTCTTATTATATTGCCTAGATGTGAAGGTGTTGTGGAAGTGTTGTACTAATTTATCGTGGAATAATTGGGTATACTGAATTAGTTCGCGTCAAGTTACTAAATATTAATATAACATATATCTGTGATTGAATTATAATCTATATAAATTCCTTGTATAAAAGACAAAATCGCATTTAATGTTTTGGGAAAGATTCTCTGAGGAATCATATTTGCTCAAACATTTTTTATTTCGGCTTAAAATTATGTTATTTCAATGTAATTGATTATGTTTACCGTAAAATCTTCATATTATGTGTTTATCTCTTTCATGCTAAAATAAAGTTTCAATGTGAATGAATGTGATAAAACATTAATGGTTGAAGTACCTATGTTTTAATGACTATTTAATTTATTTTGAAAATCTTAATTCATATGCTATAACTACTGGACTGATAATGACGAATTTTGCTGAAATATAGTTTAGACAAAAAAGACATAACGTAATAAAAGCAAGTAAAATAGATAGCGAATATTATTCTGTTTTATATAAATGATGGTAGTTAGTAAATTAATAGTGAGTGCTATGAAATTCCTCACATGACAAGATTTTATACAGTTTATAACTTTTTCTAAGCAACTTCGCTATAAGATATATATATGGTAATACGTATAGACATACCTATATAGAAACTGCATTGCCTGTCCAATGGTTAACAAACAAAGATTGACCGCTGTTGCAAAATTTCCACTATGTACGTAAATGGGCTCAGAAGTGTAAAAATATAGAATTTCCCTTATAATATAAATATAGAAATGTCCTTTAGAATGCAAGTGACTACTATCTTAAATTTAATTTATATATTTCCGCTAGAATAGGTATATAAACCTGAAAAAAAGACAAATACCTATTAAAAATTACTTAAAATAAAACTAAATTTAGCATTTATAAGTTATTAAGCCTCTTTTATGTGCACCGGTAAATAATAGGTTACATTACAACATTACACATTAGACATTTAATATGAAATCTAAAAAAAATACTATCTTGGACATAAAGTAATTTAATATTTATCATAACTTGGTAATGTGCAGTTGCTTGGTAAGCTGTAACAGTTTTGACGTACTTATATTGTTCAAAATGACATAATTGATTCATTTAATTTAAATTACATGTAATATAAGACTACACAAAAATATAAGAATTCAGCAAACGAATTTATTTTCTAAGTGAAAATTAGTACCAAATTATTAAGTCTCTGCCTCTCTACTCGAATCATGTTAAAGGAATAGGTTGATTTATTTTGTATCGTGCTAGAATAAAGTCTTTTAATGTGGTATACGAGGAATAAACAGAAACATGTCAGTTACTAAAATCAATTTGTGTAATTACTCTGTATCTGTGTATAATTTTGGCGCCATTTTCTTTATGTCTTAGAGAAAGGTAAAACATTGAAAATCGACTTTCAAGTTTTAAGTTTAAAGTCGATTATTCATAATTGTTTATTATTAAGCACATTTAAAATTATCCAGTTTATTATTAAGCACGCATATAGATATGAAAAATGTCCAATGTACCCATTATTTATTATACATATTTCTGTTGTGTGAAAGTTGATATCTTCATGTCAAATACGGCTCTTACGTTTTTATTAAGGCTACGATTTGTTATTCAGGAATATAGAGGTCTAAATTTGTTTATGAATTGACGTCTTTCTAGTAACTGTACAAAATCACTTATACGCATATGAAGTCAAATAATCCTCTTTTTCATAATAAATTACGCCTCCTACAAGTAACTATTAAAATATTTTGTCCCTTTCTTCTCAAATTACGAATATATCCGGTCAGGAAAGATGAAAGAGTTGAACAACTAAAAGATGATTGGCCTTTTTGCGAATAAGAGTGTATATATGAAGAATTCGATTGTTATTTTTTTATTTTGTAGCATCATTTCTATATACATAACTTATGTCCTACAATGCATATTGAACCAGTGAATACGAACATGTGGGTAATTTATAATAATACTAAAACCTCTCGAATGTTATATTATTAGTACAATGTAATTATATACAGTGTTAATCGTAAAAGGTATTCCGAGGCGACGCCAGTCAAAATGCCAATAAAATTGAAACACTTTCAACACGGTGGAAATTTGAAAATGTATTTAGATTTTTTGTACTAAATTGATCGCTCGATCGCATATTTTGTATAATAATAATACATGACAATTTACACAGCGCCATCTATTCCCAAGCTAAGCAGAGTTTGTGTTATGGGTACTGTACAACTTTTAGAAATACTTAAATACATTTTATTTTGTAACTATATACCTACTTCATATACAAACGAATACGAACATTCTTACGCATGAATGAATCGAATCCGCAACCATCAGAAGTAAGGTGCTGTGCTAAACCGCTACATCTCTGAGGTAGTCCAAATAAAGGTATTTGATATGAAGGTCTAAGTATATTTTTAATTTTACACTTTACTTCTTGGGTAAATGAGTTTCATGATTATTATCACTGGCATTCGGTTTGGACGTACATTTTACGAGCGATGCTGTATCCTTAGTATAGACTTGTAGGTATATTTAAGTGCCTAGTCCTTTGTTGACATATGAATTTTGTTTTGTTTAGATATTTAATAACACGTAAAGAACATAAACAACGTAAAGACACTAGCTGCTTGTACCTACTATTAAGAAAAAAGCTAATGTTTGTTTAAAATTTACGAATATAAAATATTGTATATGTTAGGCTATAGCGAAGGGAGCGTAGTGATAGACTGAAAAAACTAATTAAGAAAAACTGTGCGTTGTATATTAGCTTCTTTGTTTGTTTATTAAAAATATACAGGTTCATTCGTACTGAGAAAACTGTCTTTTCTGTTCTTTTATAAAAACAGGGCTGTACAAGTAAGTTGTCTTTGCGTTGATTATGTACACTTATTTTTAAGAAAATTGTCTACGTACTGAATATAAATTTATCTTTTAAGTGACAACAGAATATGAATAGTTTTTGTATACACAGTCAAGATCAAAATGGTTATGATAAGGGGCGCCTTACCTCAGTAATGTAAAAAATCAATATATTTTATTACGACAAATGGTTGCATATAAGTTTAAAAGTGAAGGACGCTATCAACATCACTATTAGATATAGTACATCATTTTATGTTACTGTAACTTATTAGTTTTTTTTACTAATTAAAACATGAATTAATATAATTATAAAGTACTCGTATATTTTCCCTCCAAGCGAACACTTATCTCATTCAAAGGGAATCGAAATTAATACGGCCTGAGCTAAGGTTCATACCTTTAACAGAGCACTCAGATTAAAGTTATATCGCGTGCGTTCTGCACTCGCTACTATTGCTACTATTATTCGTCCAGTGATGCTCTAAAGGTCAGCTGCGGCCAAAATCTTATGTACTAAAATGTTCTTTGTCGTAATAAAATGCGTCGATTATTTATACATAAGGTACATAATAATCTGGGCCTTCTTTTTGTAACAATATGAAATGATTTCTTATTTGTATACGTATATATATTTGTTCTGTTATGAACATACGTTATAGTTGATCATATTTAAAATTATCTCCACTATTTTTGTTGTCATATTACCTTAATATATACATAAGACAAATTAATGAGAAATATGACAAAGTAATAAATACTTTTGTTCCTTTACCAGTGCCCGATGTACATTAAATTAGAAACAATATTGTTATACTTTTTTTTATACTGTAATATCAATTTTTTTTCTTTATGTAATTTTTTATAAGACTATCCGAGAGTGACAGCCTAGTATTACTTTCTGTACCCCTCTGCATAATGCAGTCAGTTAAAAATAAACGCTATAAATGAATTATTATTATCATATCAACCAGCAAGTATAACTGGCTTTTTTATATAAGAAGATTTTTTTTAATTAAAACTTTATTCCTAACCTTAGATACAAGTCTTTTTGTCAAACATATTTTTTTAAACATAACATGAACACCTTAAAATTAGGCATTCAATTGGACACATTAAAAAAAAATACTAAAAAATTAAAAATAATTTAACTTTAAATTAGGCGGCTGGCTAGTATATTTGTAAAAGCTGACTGTACTATGAACAGATGGGTATCTAGGACGGGCATATCACTTATCAGGGTTATATTATCAGCAATTATAAACTGGTGGTCATCATTAAAGTCGCGTAAACTAGTCCACACTCAGATTTTTTTATCTCTGGGCACTGGACGATATACAATCTGGTTATCTGGCCATAGTTTGTGTTATTGTGATTATTAAAGTGTTGATCCAAAATTTGTTTTGTATTTATTTAACTCGTCTATACAATTAAATTTATTATACCTTAACTTAAGGGAGAAGGGGATTGCTAGTGATGCATATTGATGAACCCATTGCAGTGTACCATGTCAGGTTGACCTCCACGCGCTTCCACCTGAAAACCTTTGTTATAAATTCCTGGTAATTTGCTACGATGGGCTAACTAACCTGACCTCATGTTCATCTTATTCGTATTAATGACTTCATTTACATACAGAAAAACATCCATCGTTTTTCTATATCGCTTGATTGCAATTGTACATAGGTATTATATAAACGGGTTAATATGAAGTATGTATAGGGAGTTGATAACTAGTAGGTATCAAATAATACGCGTGCAAACTTTTATAACATTTAATCAGAAACTTAAAATTTGTATAAACAACTCCTCCGATATCTCATAAACAAACAGTATTTCTCTATGATATTGATCAATATAGTTATAATAACACTACAAGTATCTATAAGTATATATGTATATACTTTCATAGATTTTCAGGCTCGTATAAAATGCGATGAAAAAGGCAATCTCAATCATCTACTTGTATTATAAACTTTTTTATTAATTTATATTATAACAATTTGTTTACATATCATAGAAGAAGTATTATTGCAACTTTTTCTATAATACCTAATATTAAGTACTTGGATACTTGTGAAATCGGTTGAATAATAATAATAAAAATCATCTCTATTTGTCTCAAATAAAAACTAATACAATTGCTGCTTATAATAAAATTTAAAAGTATGGAACGAGACAAATCGGTCTACAACTCACTACCCGTGAATCCACCTTCTCTGCTATTCTGCTTATAAGTAAATTAATACAATAAGAGATCGACGACAACAATACAGATAAAGTTTGACAACGCTCTCTAAAATTGGTTTTACATTAGGTACCTACTAATTTGATAGTCTCCTGATACTTGTAATATGAAATCAATCATTTATATATCATACATAACTAATTGGTTATTTTAGACTTTGTTAGTAGTCAAAGGATACTGTATCCATTGTTAGTAATGTACCATGTTAGTTCGACCTCCACGCTGTCAACCATCTGGTCAACTTCTGGTGAATTAGCTACGGTGGACTAACTGACCCGACTTCGTGCCCATTCTATGAGCCTCCAAAGGTGCCCCGCCAGCGTATAATTTGGTGTAGGTGTGTGCACCATTCCATTATTATCCATGAAAGAAAATCGTGGGCTGGGGTAACCACTCTTAGTCCTATTATCTAATCGGTGGTCATAAGAAATTAAAGTTTGTATCTTGCTAAAACTGCTACGCCACGACATAGACAGTTTATCTGATGCGTCGTGTCATAGATAATTTTATTAGATTATTATTTTATTTTTCATATTTAAAAAAACTATCTTAACATACTTTAGCTAAAATAAATTGAATTTGCAAAGGCACGACCTACTTCATTATAAATAACACAAATAATTTTAAGAACAAATGTCACTTTTTTCAAGCTCAGTAAGACGATAATAGTAAACAAAAATTACAGTTTTTACTATAAATGTATATAAATTGTATAATTATTAAATTACATAATTTGCAAATTATGACATGTGTCTATTTAAAAAAAAAAGGGACTAGAATGTTTACAAAATTGAGCTTAAATTTCCAAGACTATCACAATGAACATGGTCAATAGGTACTACAACTCATTTAATCTGAAATTAATTACCAGGAGATTACTTACTAATTCACACATTTTTTGATGTCGGCAAATAATTATGTTTGTTTTATTCAACATCTAATATTTGAAATGTAATTTAAATACAATGTTTAGCCACCGAGTATCTCCACTTCCCAAAAGTTGACTGTTAGATAATGGTATAGGTACCTATACTTTTTTTTTATTTGACGCGTTCATTTGTAATGTATACATACAAATAGAAAAATCATGGGATCTTACAGATTTTATTTATTTTTATTGAGATTCCCGATATTTCAGCAGTATTATTCGAAAATAAAAAAAAAAATAAAACGTGGTGACGTCTTGTGATTTTTCCCAATTGTATGTATAAAATGCCTAAGTTCACCTTTTGTACCATATTTTTATAATCTATAGGTACGGTCAATAAAGCTTAAATAATTTAGCTAGCTTTTTAACGTTAACGTTAACAATAAACGAAATTTTTTTAACTGTTCATAATAGTCTAACTTTGTACATCACACAAGTAAGAGCGATCTTACTACAATTTGTTACTTATCATATCCCGCTATGGTTATTTTACATTTGTATTCATTCACAATATAGCAGATTATGAAAATCTTAATGTAAACATAATAAATGTATCTAATACAGTCTTAGGAGACTATAAAGATAAATTCATTTTAAAAGTTTTTTCCCATGTAGAAAAATACATCATTAAAGAATAACGTTCGAAAACAATGCGCATTTTTAGTTATTCATAATCTGCTTGCTATTCGGCGTTTAAAATTAGGACATTCTAGAACACTAGAACTCCCTATAGAAAATCGCAAGCTATGTGAATGCTTTACAACAGTTTCTATTACTGATATGGCATTTTTGAGATCTGACATTGCATGTCAAATGCTAATTAGTTAGTCATTGATAACAATTCTCATTTGTTATTTTTGACGGTTTTGCATCTGTAATTCCATATACAAACGCAAAACCGTACAATTTATACGGTTTTGCAATTGTATATGGATTATTTCACAATTGCCATTGCGCGTCGTAATACTAAACTTGTAATTGACATTATAAAATTGCGAACACCGATTCCCATAGGCTACAATTGAGAATTGTCAGCAAAGACTTTACACAATAAAATAGCTGGAATGTAGGACATTTGTGTAGGTACAACCGGTTTATTGATGGTAGTACCATTACAGGTACATGCCGTTGACCAGGTAGTCTGCATCATGAGCAAAAGGTGACTTTCCTCGCCTCAACCGCCGTCTGGCAGCCCGAGCCCTGCACCCCACCATAGCGGCCATCACCGTCGTCATCGCGATACCTTTACACGATCATAGACAAGTTAAAAGTAATTCGATCATAGACAAGTATTTTTACACACACTCGATATTTGTACTTGTATTGACGAAAGGCGTATGCATGTGGAAGAAATGCGAATGTTGAGATGAATGTGTGGGGTAACCTCGTATATACACTTATTCTGTAAGTGTATATACGAGGAAGTTTGAAATATGCGTCAGTTCGTAGAAAAAGTTTATAATATGAACGTGGATGGATGGAAAGGGAAAGGACGACCAAAAAAAAGATGGATGAATTGTGTGAAAGATGATATGACTAAAAGGAGAGTATGCTCAATGATACAGACGGCGGATAGGGATCAGTGGAAGAGAATGATATACTGCGCTGACCCCAAATAATGGGATAAAAGCAAGGCAATGATGACGTTATTTGTCCATATTTGACCAAGTCGTAATTGACTTTGTGGCCAGTTCTTCTCAACTGAAGTATCTGGTCTTTCGTGTGGAAAAATCCGTCGAAGAGTTTTATTGCCGGAATCGCAAGGTCGCAGCATTCTTGGCCCCTTCTTCTTCATTGGTCCCACTATAAAGGGTGTAAGGCAGGCTCCATTTCTCACCCCTATCGTTCGATAAATCTGTAAAGGCCATCTGCGGCCAACAGCACTGGCATAGTAAAAATAAACTGACCGAGCACAAGCAGCAGTATGGCGGAGGGCGGATGCTCGCTGAGCCCGTCGTGCTCGTCGGCCGCATAGTGCTCGTGCACCGCCACCGGCTCGGGGGCGGCCGCCCGCGCCGCGCTCCCCGCACCCCCGCCGACCCCCGCCGGGGCCGCACTCTCACGTGACGCACTCACTTCCGATTTTGACGGTGTAGCCTGAAATTGATATTTTAAATTTATTTGCTGCTGTCTATATGTAATAAACATATCTAGTGGATATGATAAGTATAAAAAAGTATCTAAAAGTAAAGTATGTGGTTATGTATATCTACATATGTTTGTGTGCATGTGTGTGACCTAGGTAGACTATTTTAGCAGATAACTGTTTTGAGTTGAAGACTGAGGTATGATAGATAGATAAATAGCTTGTCATCTAGATAAATTATTATACTTAATTCTATATACTCTTTATGTCTGTAATTTCCTATGTATATACTAATCCGAGTATTACTGTACTATTCTTACAGAAACATTATTTTTGTTTTTTTTTTCCAACACCTAGATACTTACTTTTTCAGCAAGAACTTTCTTCTTAGTGGTATTCTCTAATGGTGGCGTCTCTTCCCTGCGATCGGGTACCTGGACAGCCGGCGGAGACAGCGTTGCCTCTGGACCCTCCGGTTTCTTCTCCAGGTCGAATCCTTTCTTGGGACTGTCCCGGAGCGTTTGCTGCTGGCTCGTGTATACCATTGGCATTTCCGGCATTGTCTTCGGTGGTATGTATACCGTCATTTCCTGTGTGGTACACAAAAGTGATATTCTGTACGGGTTATGACGAAGCGGTGATTTCACCAGGAATTAGACGCAATGGTTAAAACAGCGATCAGGTTGAGGTCAATTTTGTGAATTAAATTTGCAATTTTACTATTGCAGAAGAATGGTCTTGACCTGTTTGGTGTCAATAGAAAATTCACCGCCTTCTCTATTATAATTATTAACAACAATTAATAGTGAATTAATATCAAATACAGGACGTTAATTATTTACATTTAATTATTTTTTTTTTAAACAAAATTATTGTGCTGTGTTTCATTTCTAAAAATCGTTTTTAAACTATACGTTCAAATTCTTAATGCATACTTGTTATAAGATATAACGATATATGGGTAATAGCACAGAAGATATTACCGGGTCAGGGCGAGGTTGGGGTACAGGCCATGCACGGCGCGGGTCAGGCTCAGACCACTCAGGACGAGCATACCCACCACCAACACCCCAATCTAAACCTGAAACCATAAACATTATATTTTAGTATTCAGTCCCACAATAAGTCCTACTTCAATTTACGTTAAATGAAAATCTGATAATCCAAGTTAAAGTTGGCTCTAAATTAGCAAATGCAAGATTATAGTCGATAAAAAAATGTTTATCATATTTTTTTTAATAGATTAATGTACCCGCCCGCCCTAATGGTTTTAGCTTGCGGGGTACTAGTGGAAGATGATAAGATTTCCTTTCCTTCCTTCTAATATTTACAACGGTTAGAAAAGGGGGAAGGGGATTATTAGGAATGAGGACTAATACCCTCATTGCTAGTAATGCACCATATCAGGTTGACCACGTGCTTTCCTTTGGAACCATCCTGATAAATTCATGGTAAATCTTCTACGATGGGCTAACTGATCTCATGCTCATCGTATCATCTTTGACTGGTGACCCGACAGCCTAAACTGTTAGCGCAGACGGTAGCACCATTCCATTATCATTCAAAAGAAAAAAGGTATGGTTAGGGATGACGAGGGTAGAGTACTGACCCGTCTGCGGCTGTCCCCAGGGCCGCCGTGGCCAGGGAGGCTCGAATGGAGGCCCGTACTGCGTGCCCATCGCCGGGCCAGGCCCCGCCATCTGTGGCTCCGCATCTTGAAGTAATCCTCCTTTATGGCTGAAGATGTGGGAACTGCGCCCTGCATCTATTATAAACAGGTGTAATATACATTTTCGTAGCTCTTGAGCTATTTCCTAATAGGTACACGCACATTTTTAAATTGTCTAAATTTGCTTACTTTTCGCAGCAACATCGTAGCCAAAACACGATGCGAGGCAAAAACTAACAGCCTTGTCATTTGAAACCGAATGTCTTGCTTTTTATATATACCTACCATCTATAATATATGTATATATGTAAATAGCCACGACTTGTTATCCATTCACCTCCCATTTTCTGCCGCTGCCAGTGCCATAACGAACACATATTACTTTATATATCATTATTACTAGTTGTCCCGGCAAACATTGTTTTGCCATATAAATAAATATTGTTACTAAAAATAGAGGTTGGTGGTAGAAGGGTGAAAACTTAAGGCTGTATGTCTTTTTTAATGCCACAAAAAAAAAAGAAATCTGGGGGTGAGCCACCCTTAACACTTAGGGGTATAAAAATTAGTTATATAAACCTATTATCAGACGTACTGAATATACATATATATTTTTTTATCAAAATCGGTCAAGTCGTTTCGGAGGAGTATAAACACGAAACCTGTGACACGAGAATTTTATATATTAGAAGAAGATCCATCATGGCTGTTAAATATCTATTCATCTTCATGAAAAAAAGTGCTAACTGTAGACTATGTATCTATATAACGATTTCGGGCTGTTGACTCTTTGGCAAATTTCATATAATTGATAGTACTACCGATTTTTTTTATTATCTTGTACTCACCATTATACCTATGCTGTGGCTGTGCCTGCGCCAGCCTATGTGGCCACCTCTCTCCGCCAAGGGCACTTCCACCTTCCATTGCCACGCTGTCACTCACACCTGAATCTGCACTTTCTTGTACCTATACCACACATATGCACCTTTAATTACATATGTCATTAAGTAAATAAATAAATAATCCGTGGACAATTAACACAGCGCCAATCTATTCCCACGGTAAGCAGTGCTTGTGTTATGGGTACTAGACGACTGATATAAATACTTAGATATATATTTTTGTAGATACATATATACTATATATAGAAAACACGCAGACCGATACGAACAATCATAATCATTTTTGCACCGTTCGAGGAATCTAATCCGCGGCCATCGGTAGTGAAGCGGTGTGTTAAACCGCTAGACCACCGAGGCCGTCAACGTAGTACGTAGTTGTAGATTGACAAAGTTCCTACCCTAGTGTTAATAACTCTTTAGTTTATATAAAGAAAATATAAATTTGAAAATTGTACATTCCTTGTCATCGTTAGAACAATAGAAAATAAAGACTGTAAACTTAGACTTCATCGTGAAATATAATTGTGATATAATATTTTATTTCTCTTTATATTGATCATTATTATACGAACCTAATTATAATTCAATATCTATTATTATATATATATTGGGTTTGTCTGTTCTATTTCTCTTTGCGGTAAAATCAATACCTGGAGATTTGGGGTATGACCGTGATACCAAAAAATAAATACGTGTCTCTCGCAGAATTAAACTCATTTCTTAAACCCAATCCAAAACATGACGCTTTAGACATTTTTATAATTTTAACATTGTGAATAGAAAGAATAGATAGGGTGGAAAGGGGATTGTTAGTAATGTAGACTTATGATCTCTCTTGCTGGTCGAATGTACCATGTCAACACTATTATACATAGAGCATTGGCGACGGCCACGCGGTTCTAGAGCCTAGTGGCATTGTTCGCGAAGACCATCGGTGATAAAATGTTTAGTATGGGAATGTGTGGATCATTGGCGATGGGTCTGGATCGTCCTGACCTCATGCTTTTAAAAAGAGGAAAATATACATCTTATCGTATTGGTTTTTACCATTTGCCGAGGAGACGTTAGGCCCATGGAGCCAGCGTAAACCGTTTTTGACGCAGGCGGATGCACCATTCCATTATCATCCATAAAAAAAACAAGCAACAATATAGGTGCTGTGTCATTATTATTATGAATGTGAATGGCAAAATGAGTTAAGAATTGGATTGTATTAGAATAATGACATAAACATTACTAAATAGGTAATAATCTTACTAATATTATAAACGCAGAAGTTTGCGAGTGTGGGAGAATAGATTTTGATATCATATTTATATGTCTTTCGTTGATGGTCAAGTGTTCACTTGCCAATTTGCTAGAGGTTAGCTTTTTCTTGAAATAGTTTAAAACATACATCACCTACCCTATATAATAAACCAATTAGTAATGGAATAGAATAGAATAGAAAATCCTTTATACAAATAAAGTTAAGCACTTTGAATAGTGATAGTTATCCTTCTTTTAATCTACAGCTCATTCAGAATGCTGTCTGATGATGCAAGAAGAATGGGCAAAAGAAACTTACGTGTTGCTCTTCTAACTTTATGGTATCATAAAACTAGAAAATGGCTACTGGCAATACATATCGCCAAAAGAAGACAAAAATGGTATCATACTTGTATGTGTTTCGGTGGTGGTGAGGGTGGCGAGGTGGCAGGTGGTGGCGGCGGTTGCGCGGGCGCAGACGGCGGACAGGCCAGCTCGGGAGCCTCGTCGCTACCATCGGCACATTGCGGCACGCCATCACAAGCGTTGTAGACCGCTATACACTCGCCACCACGTCTACATTCGAACTGGTAACGGCTACATCGACCTGCTGCATAGATTATATATATATATATATATAGGGTGTAAGGGACAGATTGCTAAAAACTGATACTGTAGCGACCATTCTCGAACTACTATAATGCTGTTTCAGAATGAGCAAGAACAGACAGACAGACAGACAAGCAGAGAAAACATTTTAAATTATTTTTTATAATTGCTATTATATAAGCTAAGCTAAGCGATATAAGCTAATTTTAAATTACAAACAGACAATTAATTTTTTTTATTAGTTCAAATCTGGATACTTATTCTATTCTAGGTACTTTATAGGATTTGAATGTCGTTATACTTTAGCAATATACACAGATTTACATTATCTAAACATTACGTTATCTGTGGATAAGAATTTAGTGTTATCTATAACTACAGTTTATTGCCGTATAAGATGAATATCGTAAGAGTATATTCATATATGTTGACTTGCGGTGAGTGTTCTGCTCTACTCGTAAAATGACATGTGCCCATTATATTGTTTATGACAAAGTTTAAACAACTCGTCTCGCAACGTTTACTACGAAACTACATGCTTCGTCAACAAGACGTGAGTCAGTAGCAATAGGCTCTAAGGCGGAATACCATGGTAAAACCCATCTGAACAGTAGACTGACAGTGATCGATATTTGCCCTCGTTATAGCTAGACGCGGGTAAAGCAATGCATTAATTATATGGTGGAATCTTTATTAAATTATAAAACAAAGTAGACACCGCTGTCTGTTCGCTTACATCTTTAAAATTACGCAGCGGATTTGAATTCAGTTTTCAGCAATAGATAAACTGATTCAAGAGGAACGTTTATATACATAATACACGCGTGTTATAGTGTTATAGTATTGAACAAGATGAGATTTTTTAATGCATACATGTGATGCCATAGATGGTCGCTAGTTAAGTATAAAAATTTAATGATGTTGGTATATATTTTTTATACTGTAGGTCAGTCCTGTGCTATATTTAACAAAATCACTGATGAAATATTAGTTAATTTTTTACAAATGACTTTCAAAATTAGCGTTAGGTATAGCTAAATGCGGATAAAATATTATATAACATAAAATGAAGTCGAGTCCGCTTTCTGTTCGCTTAGATCTTTTAAACTACGCAACGGATTTTAATTTTTTAGCAGTAGATTGGGTGATTCAAGAGTAACCTTTACATATACATATAATACAGCGTGTTATAAAACAAGTTGACAAATTCAAAGATTGAAATGCATCTGTGCCAAGCCGAGACTTCAGGTTGCCTATTTGCAATTCAGTTACGATAAAAAAAGTAATACCATTTCCATAATAGGCGTAACAATTGACCATTTAGATATTTGTTTAGTATTTGACATATCATAAGAGTCTGTATGAATAAAGATATTTTGAATTTTGAAAGTATTAAATAACAGGCTCCTGAACACGATAAATTGTAATTAAAAGTCGAACAAGTATATTATCAACTTGATGTACTGTATGTGTTAGTTTGTGTAGCGCTTATATATTAGTACGGTGACCGGCAAGGAAGTCACGTATATAGTTCATTCCTCTCATACTATCTCTGCCCTGCTCCCTCCGCCCCCTAATTACTCAGATCACCTGAGCCTGACTCATCCCCATGACTACACTGCTCCTAATTTCGTAGTCCTTTGGAATTTCTTTGTTCTGACTATAACCTTCAAAGCGAATGATGTCATGATTCGCTTACTGTGGGAACTGTCTGGTTAGTCGAATATGGCTGATTCATTTTAATTTTATCACATTTCAATATCTACCGCTTATTAACTTAATCTAGTTAAGTATCAGCTTACCGTTCTGAAAGGGTACGGTTTATTGTTTTATTGTGAGTAATTGCGCCTACCTATTAGATTGTTAGCAATGTATCCTATTATTGGTGATGATCAAACAGGATGGCCGTTGTGCTGTAATGTATACACACTACGATGCCACTTTACGTTAACTTGTTTCCTACACTACTTAATAAAAAAAATCTTACTAATTTTATAAACGCGAAAGTTTGTGAGTATGGATAGATGGATGTACTTTCACGCAAAAACTACTGAACGGATTTTTATGAAACAGTAATATAGCTTATACATCCGAATAACATATAGTCTATAATTTAATGACATATTATGTAAATTGGGCGAAATATATACCGACGAAGTTGAGCGGGTCAGATAGTAATACTATGTAATATTATATTATCTATGGTAATACTATTATATAATATTTTAGTTACATCGATGTTTTTACTTACATCGTGTAACCGCGCGGTTAGCTGTTATGATTCATATCGTGATATTTTTTTACAGATATAAAACTAACCGAATAACTAAACACAATAAAAATAATAATCGTCTGGCATATTGCCCAAATGTTTTCCTTTAATCGAGGACAGACTCCCGCGCACTGGTTGACATATTAAATATCAGTCAAAATTATTTTTCTATTCAATTTGGCGGCCAATGGTACTGTTTGCTGTTTTATAAACTGCTATATGATATCTTAAACTGCGAGAATTAAATAAAAATGGATACCTATTATACTAAATATATCCTGCAACGCTGCCCGCATGAAATACAACTTATCTTACTCAGTAATAATGGTGGAAAGGGGTTATCAGTAATGAGGATCGATGACTCCATTGCTAGCAATGTACTATGTCAATAACTACACTACATTACACGGGGCCTCCATGGAAAACCTTAGATTAATTCCTGGTGAATCTGTCGCGATGGGCTAACTGACCTGACGTCTCCTCTTCTACTCGTACTGCCACGGGCGTTACGTTATAACATAATGGCCGTAGTGTTCTTCAAATATATAGCAGACAGACTGACCATCAAATGGACCGTTAGCTGTTTGCCATTCCATGTACATAAAAGTCAGCCTTTTGTTATACTACGGCGTTACCAAACAAGCTTATCGCTCATCTGATGGTAAACGTTTACGTAGCCTATGGACGCCTGAAATACCAGGGGTGTCACGTGAGGGTTGCCGACCCTTAATACACCCTTCTTGAAAAACCTCATGTAATCCCTCGAGAAAACCTCTAAGCAACCAAAGTGTACGCGAGGGCGCTTCTCGGAAACCGCACAGTCTGAGACTACCTACTTAGGTTCAAGCGTGTGGCGCAATCGACAGGGAAAATCGGTTGTGAGAGTTGCGATTTTAAAAGGTAGCCGTGGGCATCATATCGTACAATTCATCAAAACACAGTCCGTTGTATATTCTGTAGAACACACAAAGCGATGCGAAGTCTCGCCTCAACCTTAGTAGTTTGATACCGCTCGACAGATCGGGATCATCGACAATTCTTATAGCACGTCTCTTTTTATATATAAGATACAAGATTATACTATAGTAAGTCATATTAGTAAATACTTGGTATCTGAGGCGGTTCGGGTTGCTGCGGATGCATTAGCGGCGGCGGTGGTGGAGGGATGGTGACTGGTTTGGTGGTCGTCGACGTGGTGCTCGTTGCAGTCCTGGACAAAGAAGTACCAAATTTGTTTTAATGCTTATTCACATGCTAAAACCATTAGCATACATCTAACTTCATCTATGCGAACATTTGTATTCATGAGTATAATTGTTTGTGTCGCTCTGAATGTTTCCTGTGTATATATTATTTATATAATTAAAATTATTAATTAAATTATATAATTAAAGATGGCGCTGCGTGAATTGTGTTGGGTTATTAACACTATCAATAGATTCTTTTAAACTTTTGCGTGAACACTATAAATATGTATATCTAGTTAAAATGAATAATTATAAAGATAGCTAATGTCGTCCTTGTATCTTTATATGGAATTTCATTTAGATCCCATTAACCATTTAGTCGTGAAAACGCAATCAAGAGGCAGATAGGTAGACAGACCAAAGGACAGATTTGTAATTTATAATATTAATATACACTTGCTGACGCGCGACTTCGTCTACTTTTATAAAAAAAAGTACCATCTATCGTAATATCAAATTTCATTATCACTTCAGCCGTTTAGACAATAATACTGACATAGTTATCTATAAGTCCTTCCGCGGTTTGGAGTGCTATCTGCACTCGTCTCCTATTGTTCGGTGAAGCTGTAAAGGCCAATTGCGAGCAACAGTTTAGAGTAGTCAAAAAAAAAATTATGTTACTTACATTAATTTTACAATAACAAAACAATTTTGAGCTTCGCGTGTTTTTCAATGCATTTAAATATGTCAAGTAGGTAAATGCGCTTTGAACTTGTCTGTGGCATGATTTCAGCGAAATTTTATAGTTCATTAACGAGAAACTTCCAGGAATAGTCTACATTAATTACTTTACATTACTAAACGCATGACGCAAGCTCTGGTTACATAATGTGAATTAGGATTTACGTCAAAAGGATAGTTACGGCTTTTTACAAAGGAATATTAATACCTGTAATAGACAAAGAGAGGATACTTAAAAATAAAATTAAAGGTCTCTGCTCTGCCTATAGAACTCTTTTTTATATAGGACCTTATATAGGTCCCCAGTTTCTCTACAAGTTTACTGAAAAGTCCCTTATATTTGAAAGACAAATTCCAATTAGTGACTAAATCTTCGTTCGGCCCAACCCTTCTTCTCTCAGGTCTATGTCTAATTCATTCACTGTCACTCTGCTTTGGAATAGATTGCCTGTATAGCACAGAGTAAGCCTGTTTTCAAACGGAAAATTTTTTTATATAACAAAACGGTTCTTAATTATCTATTGTTGTCATAATATATATGGGTGTATAAAATTTTATTGGTGTATCATTATTATGTATTATAGTAGGTATATATTTATATTTATGTATGTATATTTGTAATTATTTTTAAGAAAACCTATTTACCTATGTTAGGTAAAATTATAGGTTAGTCCTTTCCCACCACAGGCCATCAACCGCTGTTAGCTGGTAGAGAATGCCATATGGCATTAAGCTCGCCAAATTGTACATTTTTAAAGTGCAATGAAGAATAAAAAAAAAAAAAGTAAAGTGACTACAAAGCTCTAGTAACAAACAACAAAATATTGATGAGTATTTATTGAAAAATATTGACGGACAAACTAGTTTCAATAATAGTAAAATAATATAATAATATTTTTTGTCTTAATGTAACCAAATTTTCGTAGTTCCTAACCAAAGTCTGTTTATTTCTATAGTAACAGAACCATGTAGTTAACATTTTGTTTCAGTTTTGGCACCATTTATGCCTTTATTACTAATCATGAACTTTAGTAGGGACATATGCTCCATTATTTCAATCATGGTCACGCAAACAAAGTCGAAGCCTAAAGTTCTATCACGGCAGAAATGTCTATTCAAACTTCTTTATTCTTAAGATTTTTTTTTATCTGTTCATGCATTTTTTTATCACTATCCCTACCGTACATGTCAGAAGAACTGGCATGAAACTCAACTTGTACATTCTTTAATCTTTCTTTCTTTTTAAGGTTATTATTGTAATAACGTTTCCTCACCTGAGACTGGCCAGCTCATGTTCGTGATGTGCAAGCCTCTCCTGATCTTGCAGTTCAGCCAACCGCCTGCTGAGGGCTAGCACGCCACTGCTGAAGTTGCTGTGAGCTGTGAACTTGCATCTGAAGTCTTCAGGAGGGCCGCAGTTGAACATGTAACAGCTACCTGGACTCTGTCAAATCAATTGTTAGTTTTTTATTCCTCATACTAGGTTTTACCAGCGACATCGTTCGCGTGGCATCAAACTTTTGTTTTATTGTGGTATCAATGGTTTTGTTTATGCTGTTAGCCGCAGCTGGACTTTACAGCTTCACAGGACGATAGGAAACGAGTGCAGATGGCACTCCAAACCCGCGGCAGGACTTATGGAGCGGCTGAAGTCTAACTCCCGGCTGTCGGAGACTTTAGTCTGAAGGCAGCACTAGGTGTTCGAATATCGGCTCAGGCCATCATAATTTCGATCCCCGTTTGAATTGGACGAGGGATCGATCGGAGGGGTATAGGCGACTGTTAATTTGCCATCCGTTTGTCTATTATAAATAAGTATATGAAAAATATATAAATTAGCCGCTACTTCTACTGCGTGAAATTAAAATAAATACATTTCTAAAATAAAAGTAACATTGAGTTTATTAATCCACATTACCAACATTTATTTACATATTATTTACAGGACGATTATCTCTGTGCATTTTCTACCGCATATATCACGTCCTGATGGAACACGTCTGAGTTTCACCACCGAACGCAAAACAAATACCATCCTGATCATCTGGATGAAACACAATTTGTAAAACTTACAAAACATTGTAAAAATAATATTGAAACCTTCAAGAAAAGGTATGTTGCACGTACTGTCCGGGTGCTCATGGACGGAATCACTTACCATCAGGTGAGACTCGTTTGTCCCCAAAGGTTGATGTATGATATGATTAGTAGTAAGTTTTATGTCACTTGAATTTACTAAACATGTAGATATTCATTCACATTATAGATTAAGGTACAATGGGATGGGACTAACGAGCCGCAAATGGACAAAGGTCCCTAAATTATTAAACAAAAAACCTTTTGTATCGACCGCGATACCAACTTCTGCATTGCCGTTCCTTAGTAACTAAGAAGTACTTATTATTGTTATAGATTTAATTAAGTGACTAAAATTAAATAATCTCTTGTCTTATCTATTACTAGATGAGTATGATATGATGAGGAATATGGAAATTAATAAATTGTGATAAACGATCCATTATTGCATCTGCAATATGGCACTGAATGAAATATTTATATAATTTCATTTGACTCGGAATATTCATTCGATTGTTATCAAAGAGCTACTGATAATGATGTATTATTGATTTTTAGTTTTCAGTAAACCCGCGTAATCATTATCAGTGATAGCTAATCATTATGCGGGCCACTGTCATTTTATTCATTATTAATTGTGTAATATAGTTGTGTAAGTTATATGAAAATTGACACTGTTTTATGGAACGTTTAATGCTTCAAGTTTCAAATATTGGAATTTCTTGTTTAGGTAAGCAATTAGGTAGTACTTTTTCTTTTCATTCGGTCTGATTGGGTTGGGTACGGTCACTGATTGGACTATTTATTTTGACAGAATTGCAATGGCATATGCTGTTGGTTGGTTACTCTATTCTCCCTAATTTGATTTAAAAAATGAATCTACATTTATGTAAACAAGTACCAGCTCCTTTAAAATGAATAAGTGCTGAGTTTCTTAACAAACAAAATTCTTTTTGGCTCGAAAGCACTTCGAAATGACCGTAGATTTGAAATATCATAATAGTCTGTCTGTAATAGGCCTAGATACATAAATAAAGATTTTGATCTTTTTTAATTCTGAAATATATACCTGAAATGTATAGGTACTATTTTAAGTTAATAGTAATTATGTTAATAAGTTAATTAAGTTAATAGAATGTTAAGTGTTTAATTCTCAAATATTGTATAGGTATTCTTTTAAACTTCGTAAAGAATCACTTCTTTTAAGTAGTACGTAAGTGAGTGAACGAGATTACGATGTCGAAACTAGTGGAAACAGTGATCAGATTATGAAATTAAACAGGAAGTGTCTATCCTTTCGTGTCTACCGTTACATTCATAGTTAGTCTTTGTTCGTCTTTTTTTTGGACACGGATACCTCTTCATAGGATGTGGATTTAACTTCTATTATAATACTTGATGGGTTGGATTAGCGTTTCATTTCGAGTGTTCATCTCCTACACCGATACATTTGTGCCTTGTCTTACAAATAACAACATTCTGAAGATGAAAACGCGTGTTGACACATTGTATTTTCCTGTGTTATCACACAAATGTAGATAGATTGTAGTCAGTTTAAAATTATGTATTCTATTAATAATTTGTAAATTCTTTGATTTTCATAATTTTGTAAATTTTATGTTTTAGGTCTTGTAATTTTAATTTTAAAATTCTTGTAATTTTTGATATGATATGCTGAATACCACTAAATGGAAATAATAAATGCATGTATAACTAAGAATATAATAATAATAATAAGTGTATTGTGAAAAAAAAGCTACAAAATGGACTTATGGAGTATAGACCTTATGTTTTTATAATAATGAAAAAATATCATTTTTTCATTATTAGTATACATAATATTATAAATACCTACTTATAAATCTCTATATACAATTATCATATTTACAGAATTGTAACTCTGTACGTCGGTCACGCTTTCATGTCAAAACAATTGAGTCTATTTAAATGAAATTTGGTATACAGATAGTCTAGACTCTGAGAGAAGACATATACATGAGGTTACATTTTAATGCGATTAAATGGTTGTAAGGTGTTAAAGGGGGAGATGAAGTATGTATGGAAATATCGTCGTATTTAAAGATAGAAGCTTGACATCTTTTTTAGATTGTTGATTAAATATAAATAAAGATGGTATTCACATTTTGTAAAACTTTTACCCTTAGGAGATAATAATTAGGGATGCAAGTTTGTATGGAAAATCGTCAGTCATCGTCTATTCCACGCGGACGAAGTTACGGCACAACTAGTAAATAAACTAAAATAAACATGCACGAAAGTCCTGAGACGACGCCAGCTGTTCGCTCCATACCTTCTCCTCGTATACGAAGACATCACACGTGTCCGTCTCGCAGCACAGTCGCAGGCATTCCTGCCGCGCGCCCACGTCCAGCTCCGACAGGTAGCGAGCCCCCATGTCACGTGACTCCTCCGTGCGTATGATTTTGTCACGCTGCACGTCGAATCTCGTCGCGCACGCCGCCGGGTCCAACTCTCGTGCCCCCGCCATTGCTCCCATCAACGCAAACCACCATGCCCAAGCTCGCATCTTCTCTCTCTTGCTATTTTTTACTATCAGTTATAATAAACTCACAAAATAATAAGTGACGTTCCACCAAATAGCAATATTGAAATTCCATGAACATCAGTCTTCTCATGCCGGACTATATGCCACTATGTACCATTGTTATCAGTTTGTTGTATAGGAAGAGGAATTTATATATTTCAATTATTGCACGGCAGTGGAGTTACTCGAATGACTGGCCCGCTTACCGTACCGTCGCTTATCAAGTACGCTCGATAGGGACGCGTCTGCGCCCCGTACGCGCTTTTAGGAATCACTAATACATGGATATGACATCTCATTTTCAATATATATACCGATACTTTAACTGGAGTTGTAATACCACACATATATTTGCAAGAAAAAGTGTTATTTTTTAAGAATATAAATGTATAGTTTTATTGTTCTTACATAGAGGTATTTCGTCGTATCGTATTGTAATCGTAACGTTGTGTTCGTAGCTCTCGGAGCACCCGTGCAGAGCGCGGCGGTGCGGCAGTGTCGGCGAGAACGCCGGCCAATAGCCCGCAGCACATTGCACAGCCGTGATGTCGCTTTTCTTCAAGTTCAGGAGTAGCGTGAGTACAAACAATACCTATTACCCGTGATCAGGAACCCTGATAGCGCCGTCGGCAGCCTCCCCTTTCTCTCAGAAAAATCTCCCAGATTGAACTCTTCGTCAAGCCCATAGTTTCTGTCGACACGCCCTCAATCCTTCACGTGCGGTTCGTACCATTATATCTACATTGTTTACGGTCATATCCTGCAGATGTAGGTGACTAGATTATAAAAGATTAATGCTCGTATGTTTGCAATTAACCCGTGTATATTTTTATTGATGATACGTACCTACCCACCGCGACTCTGCAATTTGTATGAAGTTGATAACAATAGATATAATTTACCTATCTATTTATTGTTGTTGAAAGACAGTGTGATAAAGGTAACGAGGATCATCGTCATGCTGGATTTATTGAGTGACGCGGACATTTATATAACTGGAATGACAAAAGTGTTGGTGGCTGACTGATGGAAAGCGAAAATCGTCACCTATATTACATGAACAGCACCACTGACACCACATCGTCATGTGACGCTCGTGGTACTACTCATGCGTTGCCATTCCATAGGACTAAGGTATCAAGCTTCTGTACCCTACAATGTATATAGTAATTTGTAAATAGTCTAGGGTACCTAAGTCGTACTTATTTTTATCGCCAAGCAGATTGCTTTGTAAGCTGTTTCGGTTGTAGCGTGTATATTACAGGATAATAATCATGACATCTTAGTCCGTCATCATAATAGTCATGTTTAGCAACGCATGCTGTATTGCCATTCCAGAGGTCATAGTTATAGTCATGATACCGTGATGAGTACTCTACATACAATTCAACGGTTACCGCTTATCATCGTGGGCCGTTACCCTAAACTGTAATCATTTTAGACACCATCAGGAGCTTGGTATCTGCAAATTCACTTAACACTAACGCTATAAATTGCCTGCAGTCCCGTGTCCCGGATTGCAGGCATCGACCTCCGTTCAATCTAAGCTCAAGTAAACAAAGCGTTTAAATTGATTCTTGTTACGTCACGCGGCCGTGACAAACTGATGATTTTAATGGCAATTCCACTGGCTGGCAATGATTTAAGCAAACTAATAGTTGTTTTGGATTTATACAAATAAAATGATGACATCGGCAGTTTTTTAAACCTTTTAAGCCACCGTTATGTCAACATCATTATTGTAATTACAATCTGTGCTCGCGGTTTCACTCGCGTGAAATTGATAGCCTATGTGTAATTCAGATGTATAAGCTATATTACTGTAAAGTTTCATTATAATCCGTACAGTAGTTTTTGCGTGAAAGAGTAACAAACAGCCATCCATGCATCTATCCATTCACACTCACAAACTTTCGCGTTTATAACATTAGTAAGATTTGTAAATTGATTCTACCTTATAGTCTGCATTAATGTTTTTATCCAATAATTTGTAGTGTTGATAAGTTATCATTAACGCATTTTTCATGTAACTTTCATAGATACCAAATTTAAAAATGAATAATTAATTCACATATAGAGACTTCTTCTTATTGTGCGGGAGGCGGGTCCATCGTGTGACAGACAGGGAACTCTGAGCAGATCCCGGGGCTTGTGACCCGGGTTAAGTTTAAGGGGCTTCTAGACGACGTACGATAACACTCAACGTCACCGCTCGTGTTTCTCTCCCTGCCTAGCTAAATTTGGCAGGAGCCTGCTTGTGCAGCTTTAGATATAAGTTCTTAGATATAGAACTTGGTGCATTTCAGGACAAGTCAAGATCTTTTAGATGATTGTAGAGAGATGTTGTTGGTTTACCTCTCGGTCCCTCTTCTACTGCTTATAAATTAATTAATTTAATATAAGTATAAGTGGCCGTTGTTTGTTCGTGAGAGATATGTGAGAAAAACTATTATCAACGGGATGTTACTGCGAGATTTTATAAACACAATAGAAAAGAAAAGAATAATTTTACAATTTTGTCTATGCATTTGATGCGACTTTGTCTAATGTAATGTAAGGTTCGTTTAAATTTAGTGTTTGTCTTATTCTAACGAATTGGTATCTGTGTGTAATAAACCGCTAGGCTACCGAGGTCGTCATATTTTATAAATATACTAGCTATTTACTGCGACTTCGTCCCAGTAGAATTTAACTATGTTTATTTATAAATACATATAAAATTTCTAAAATAAAAATAGCCTAAGTTACTCTTTATAATATTGGCTACCTGTGACTTAAATTCTCGTCAAAAACGGTCCGGTCAAGTCCTTTCAGAGGAGCCAAGAACAAACAGACAGGAGACAAAAATTATATAATAAGTTTTTTTATGCAAGTACCATATATATCATATGCATTTAGTAAAAGCTAGCTGTTAATTTGAAATTACAAATTGACACTTCAATTTTATTTATTTGTATGTAGAAACGAATAAATATTAGTTTACATTAATATACTACATATGTATATGATGACCACATGAGGTCATGAAGCCACCAAAATCACGATGTTTGTTTTAATCTTGACCTTTGCAGTAGTTATCGTGATGTTCCAATCTGTTAAAGTAAAACCAATAATTTGGGCATTGAATATGAATTTAACAATAGTACAGTAACAACTAAAAAAGTAAAACAATACCAACTCACTGTTTTCGTCTTTCTATTTTTCCGCTTGAGTTAACTTTGAGTTTTTACCTACCTACCCTTTAGAGCAGTGTTTCCCAACTAGGGTTCATTCCCGGGAATTCTCGGTTCGAGAATTCCCGGGAAATTCATGGGTTTTGTTCCCGGGAAATCAAGCTCGAGAAAAGTCGAGAACTCGAGAAATCATGTACCTATATAGAAATTAAATGCCCTTTGTTTTCTTGCGTGGCGGCGCAATAATTTAAGATATTAACGTTTTTGTTTTCTTTCATGTTATTTTTTTATTTTGTAGAAACTATTTTTGTTTACATTGTTTTTTTTTATCTAAATAAGCAGCCAAAAATGGTGCTATCATTATAAATATAAGTCTGAATAATTAGGTCCTAAAAAATTGAAATTGGCGTTTTGTAAGGGAATAACCTAAAGTATTTTTTTTTTCAAAATACATCAAAGTAAATAATATATAAAATATATTTATTTAATCAAAGTATGTACCATTTCTATTTATGCACTTTTGCCTTTTGTTTTTGCACTTTGGACTGCCCCATCGGAGTGTAATTTTATCCCTTGCAAGAAGTTACCGAATTTTGAAAAAAAATGGTAATCTGTTGGAGCAAGGTCCGGGAAGTACTGTCTGTTGTGCACTATGTGGTCAAGCGTTCTTGGCGATTGACCAGCTTCGGTTGTTTAGCAGCTAGCTTTTCCATCATGGTTTCTCAATTGCTGACAATACACATTTGCCGTAATCGTCTAGCCAGATTTAAGAAAGCTGAAGTGAACAACACCGTAAATAGTCCACCAAACGTTCACAAGTAACATTTTTTGAGCCATATTTCGCTTGGGGCAGGATTTGGTTGGTTCGCCAGGGTTTAGCCATTGCAATGAGCGTTTCCGATTATCGTACAAGATCCACTTTCCACCACAGGAAATGATTTGATTTAAAATGCCTTCATTATTATGCCGGTTGATTAATGTAACGCAGCAGGCTACGCGCGTACGTCGATTTACTCCATTGAATTCATGAGGGACCCACTTTTCAAGCTTTTTTTTTTATTTATAACACAGGGGACAAACGAGCATGCGGCTCACCTGATGGTAAGTGATTACCGCCGCCCATGAGCACCCGCAACATCAGGGGAATTGCAAGTACGTTGTCGGCCTTTTAAAAAGGAATAAGCTCTTTTCTTGAAGGTTTCAATATCGTATCGGTTCGGAAATACCATTGCTGGAAGGTGATTCCACAATGTGGTTGTGCGAGGCAAAAAGTTTCTAGAAAACCGTACTGTGGAAGACCGCCATTCATCCAGATTATCAGGATGGTATTTCAGTTTCTGGCGGGTGGTACGGTGGTGAAAAAATGAACTCAGCAGCTGGTATTAATCCGAACAATTCCTCAGAACACTCCCCGTGATATATGCGGTAGAAAATGCACAGAGATGCAATATCTCGCCGCAAAGCCAATGGGTCGAGTCTGTCACATAGACGTTGATTACCAATGATTCTGGCTGCTCGGTTCTGAATGCGGTCAAATGGAAGTAGCTGGTATTGTGGTGCTCCGGCCCAGAGATGAGAACAGTATTCCATATGCGGCCGGATCTGCGCCTTGTATAATTGCAAGCGATGGGCCGCCGTGAAATACCGTCTCACTCTACTAAGCACACCAAGCTTCTTTGAGGCTATTTTAGCCTTGTCCTCCAAATGACCGCAAAACTGAACGTCACTTGATATATCAACGCCAAGGACTCAATAATTTCGTCGGGACAGGATATTTGCGTCTCCGTAAGGAAGAGCAAAGCCGGCCTCGCCGACTCTAGATGGTGGTGAACGGCGTTGAGATTGGAATGAATACCCCTGATGTTGCAAAAACTGACTATGAGCAAAGAAAACGCCGATGGAGATTTGCTCGGTTTCCTTCTGGCCAAATTGAGCGGAGAATGGCCCACCCCAGAATACGCAGGGCAGTCTGAGTGTGATATCTCAGGGGTGGATTCTCCAGTAACATGGTTACTGGTACCACCCTGGGGTAAAAGCTTTTTCGTCTTCCCAATTTGCTAAAGGATTAAAACAGTTTTGTCACTAACACCGCAGCTTGCAGCTAACTCGGACGGGTTTGCGATGGATCCGCTTCCAATTCTTCATTATTAACCTTGGATTCCGGCCGCCCACGGAGATTGCTTTGCAGGTCGAAATTTCCAGAACGAAAACGTTGTAACCAAAAATGCACGTGTTTTCTTTTGCGAGACCACTGCCATACACATCATTAATACTTCGAGCCGTTTAGCACCGTGTAGCACTGGTGCCACAGCGGAACTCGTACTCGTAAATAACGCGATATTTTAAGTTTTTTCATTTTGTATGCTGTGAGTGACCCAAAGTGAATAGCTGTATAAATTTGGAAATGAAATTCCTAACCAAAGAGGAGATATTTGAGATCAAAGTGACCAGTACCACAAAACGCCAATTTCATATGTAAGGATCTAATATTATTTCTCTATTTAAAAAAATAATAATTTATACATATGTAATATTAATGTTTTTAAATATACTCAAAAGTTTAATTTGATACTTTTATTTGAGAGGAAAACCACAGAATTTTTTTACTTTATTGGAACCAAATAATATGAGAAAACGTACGTAAATGTAAATTTCTCGACAACCCGAGAAGACCCGAGAAATTGACCTCGAGAATTCTCGAGACCCGAGAAATTGAAAAGCTCGAGAAATCATGAACCCTATTCCCAACCTATTTTTATGTCATGCCCCACTAAAAAAATTCTTCAACTTTCTCAAATTCTTTATCCTATGCAAGATACATAATTGAATTATTTAAAAATTGAATTGTTCACTTAAGAAACTAAAATGATAGTTTTAGCAAGAAATCACTAAAAGATAGTACCTAAGTATAAAATACATTTTCAAAATTTATAAATAAAAACTAAAATATAATGTGTCTATATGATTTTAATGTAGATTTTTCTAAATTAATTTAGTGGTAGAATAATTATTTAAGAATTTGCTTTTCTCGTTAAAGTGTAGTCGATATTTAGTATTGTACTTAAATGGTCCGGAGCGAAAGGGTTAAACTCGTGTCGAGTCCTTTTTCGGAAGCCCCCCTTAATAATCAAATTGCCCCACTGTGGGTGTGGTCTCCACGTTGGGAACCACTGCTACAGTGCCTTTAGAGAAATTCTTCCCGCAATATTAAGTGTAGATATGTATAACTAGCGGCCGCCCGCGATTTCATCTGCGATGCAAATCTTTTTTATACACAGTTGAACCTCTGATAAGTAACTTTTCAAGAATAATTTAAATAAACACGTGGTTGATAACGCGAGTCACGTGACAGTAACAAACAGTGTGGCATTTTAAAAAAACTGTTATGCCTTTAAAAAAAAAAACAAAAGCGCTCACAGTTTGTTACGATTACGTGACTTGCGTTCTCAACAGGCTTGTTTATTACTTTGTTCTCATCGTATACGTAGATTAAGCTAGATAATAAGTAGCCTTTGCCCTTCTTCACAACAAATTCTGACATGTATACTAAATTTCATGACAATCGATTGAGCCGTGAGATAACAGATAATCAAAAATCATTCTCAACTTTAAATATGTATAGAAACATATAAATATACATTTCAGTCTGCTTATAAGTTATTTAATTTAGTACTACCTAATAAACAAGTATTAATACAAAGTTCTGCTCAAATTAAGACAAGATGGCGCTGTGTATAAACTTTTACTAATATTTACTATTTAGCATTAATTAACAGTTCATACTGCTATGATAGCCCGTCATGCTACTGCGACTGCGCATCGTGCGATATTATGAATCTGTGGTTCATTTGCCCGGGAAAATAAAAATTAATAAATTTTGCTAACATAACGTTTGTATTAATTGTTTAATTTTAAAAAATTACGACCATAGTGAATAATGTTGGAAAAACGTACTAACGTCTTTAATAGTTCGTAAAATTGGAACTTTGAAAGGGACATTGGCAGCGGGCCATACCTTGTAATACATTGCCCACACGTTTTCTAAAAATTCGAACGTGATAAACCTAACAAAATAATAATTTATCAACATGAGTAGGTATATTAAAATCTTCTTAATCGATCCTCATAATCTATTTTAATCATAATTAATTATGTTGTAGTTGTTTACCTTTATTTCTGTGTTACAGATTAGAATTATAAAAATCATTGACTTTGACAATACTCAAAATAGTTACTATACTAGATGAACCCGCGACTTTGTACTCAATGCATTTTTTTAATGGATAATAATAGTATGGTACACCAGTCACACGTATAGATATATTCCAAGAACAAGAACTAAGCATGTTCAGTTATTTACCTTAGACTGCAAAGGAAGAATGATACATAGCAAACATTACTAGGTATTAGCTAGACATTTCAACAGTACATTATAAATATGAAAAACAGAAATATAAAAAAAGCTTATTAGAAAAAGTGTTGAATACTTTATTTATCCTAAAAATATTCGTGTTCAGACCCATAAACTATGTTAATAAAGTAAATCCAAAAGTTTAAAAATAACTATGCAGAACTTGTACTATGGGTACTAAACTATAATCAACACATTTTTAAAAAGAGAACTACCCGATTGAGTATCAATCAAAATTGAATCTATCTAACAAACTGTAATGGTTCTAGATAGAAGTATAAGAGTTTCACACAAAAAATATTTTCTTTGAAGTGTTTCGGACTTACACACACATGACGATGAAACCTTCAAAATTATTCTATGCAAACAGTGTCTTGCAAACATGCTGTGCTGAGAATTGGTTACACATTTCTTTATAAAAAAATATTTTGTTCCGAATGACGCAAGTCTGGAGGTGACTTTTCATTCCAGTTTTAGTTTTAGAATTCATTTTTGTTTATGGCTTCTGGGAACCCAAATGGCCAGTGTTAAAATAAAAAAATAGAAAACACTATTTACATTTTTAAATTAAGAACATTTTCTTTTTTGTCAATAACCCTTTCATACGAGGCCAAGACAGTACAGGCATGATGTTTAAAAAGAAAATAATTTTAGCATGAGAGAGATATATACCAATCTCGGAAATTAGATTATATTGCGATAACTACGCAGTGCTAATTTCTTCAGTCCATGACTCAGCCCTCTCTGATACATTTTCATTAAGATTTACGTGTATACGTGTTATTGAGTACTGCGCACAATATATTTGAAACATTAACCTTTTATCACAAGTCACCTTGACCGTTTCTGTATTTCTTTAGGTCTTCAGTATTTTTCAAGCGATCAGTCAGTGTAAGATCGATTAATATCTAATAACTGATTCTAGATACCAAGGCCCCTATTTAATGGGTAGAAATATTGTGTGATTATAGGAGTTTTTAGGCAGAACTTGCGTGAAACAATAATTGTTTTTGGTATGAGTTTTTATAAAATTAGTACTTCTGTTAAAGAGTCTCACTTTAAAACACTGACACAACTGATTTTGGATGTTTCTTAATCTAATCAAATGGAAATATTCAATGATGAATTCAATCTTAGACCACTATCGATGTATCATATCCGAATATAAGTGTATGTACGATTATGTGGTGTGTGTGAGGTCGACAACTTTAAGAATGCAATACAATTTCGATCATCGAATTGTTTATTTATTTAATTTTTGTTCGAAGTTTCGCGTTCCGAAGTTAGTCAGGGCACAGATAACATAATATTACATAGTCAGGGTAATTCAAAATAATCTATGTTATGAAATTTCGGTATTAGATATTGTATTTTTTTTTTTAATAAAAAATAAAATATTCAGACATACAATTAATTACTTTTATTAAATGTATATATCACAGAAATTCTAAAGGAAGGAAATTTCGTTATGAGATATTGTTATATTCTTTAAGAACATAAGTTTCATAGGTTATTAATTAAAGAATATACCTATATATATTGAACATTTATTTTTTTAGAACTTACAACTAACATTCCTAAAGAGTGCTAATTCCCTCGAGGTAATTAAGAGGTAGGTATTTCTGCTTACAGCACAGGAATTTCTATTCCATACCATTGATATATTACGTATTCTAAGAGACACAACATTCTAGTCCCCAAAATATCATTCCTAAAATGCGCATCAATTGAGATATCTACTGCATAATTTAAGAAATGTAAAGAGGTTCACATGAAATCAAGCACGCGGCATATAAGCACAGATAAGATAATATTACATATATAAGCATGATATACATACATAAGCATGATTTATTTGCTGTAGTGTATAATTAATATTTTATTTATTTCGATTAAACATCTATCTTATGTCCACGTCCAGATGGTATGGACAAAATGGATTAATTTGAAAAAAAAAACGTAGCAAATGAAGAACTGAAAAAATCTAGTAAAGATTCTAATAAGAAAACTTCTATTTTTTTTTAATTTTATAAGCGTCGAAGTACATCTCTCTGATTTTCTTTATTCAATATATTTGTACAATTTTATGATTGCTTAATTCCAACTGTTTTTGTGTACGCAAAAATGTATATATTCATCGTAGTGAATACTGCGTTCTACATGATTAGAAGGTTTATTCGAAAAAAAATCTTCTATCTATGCTTTATAGCGTAACTTTAATCTATGTAACGCATGTTACCTCTGGTAGATATACATTGTGCTCTCTAGTACGTCAATACTTATACATCAATGTTCGCAACAACCGCAGTACCGGCGACGAGCCCTGTCAGCTGGGCTGCTGTAGGTAGCTACCTAGGACGTGCCGGGGCCGGGCCGTTCGCTTCTCGCCCTCCACCGCGCCCTCCCGTCGCGTTGGCCCCTCACTCCGTAGTCCGTCCGCCTCCGCAGCCCCGCTATCTTCGCGACGACGCGAGGACGTGTACAACGTAGTCAAAGCTCGTGTGTATTTGTGACCGGCTGTGTTGGCCTGCATACGGGACGCACCTCAGTTCAGTGACAGTATTTGTTATCTGTGGTTCAGTGCATAGTGAGTTGACTGTGCCATTGTTCGAGAGAGGGACTGCGTCGATCTGCCGCAGCCTCCGCCGGGGGCAGTGACCGCAGGCGCGATCTCGGTACGATACGAGATGACTTCTCGCGAACTCGGTGATCGCAGCGTGGACCGCGGGCCGCCGGCCGCTACACACCCGCGCCCGAGCGTAACGCACGCTTCTTATGTTTCGGTTAGGGTTGTTGGATAGAAGTTTCTTATTTCCTGAAGATTTCACACTTAGACTCCAATTACTAGACTAATTGCAATTATTTAAAATTATTTTGAAAGCAACTTTATCCCTCGGCGCTGGCTCTGATAAAAAGTCTCTTATGTGTTAATTTAGGATATTATCTATCTGTGCACCAAATTTCAATCAAATTTGGGTAGTAGTTTTTGTGTGAAACCGTAACTAACGTTCATCCAGTCTTACAAATTGGGCATGTATAATCATTGTATAATTATCACTTAGTGTAACTTGGGACTTAAAGGGAGAAAGTAATTCAATTATTTTCTCATTACTCTCAATTGACCTCAATAGCCGGGAGTTTAAATGTGGTTAATCTATACTTCTATACAACTTTAGTATGTACCTGTATGGTCTCATAGGTATGGTAATATTTCCTATAGTTTATTGAATAACATGACAATATTATGGACAAAATATCGCCATGTTATTCAGTGAACTACACTTATTTACCGCAGTTTTGTGACAGTTATATAAAACGGTATGTGATAGTTATATGACCTCATTCATTGTATTGTCGAAAGGGAAAACGTAGCAAATTATTTATAGAAACATAAACAGTATTATAACGCGTGATTTTTGTTATTGCACGTAAACTATGTTATAGTTTTTTTTTCATTAGAATAGCAAACAAAACGTCAGCCTCCTGGTGATAAGCATTATTTGTAGCACTGACGTTATCACGTAACAACCGTGATAACACTCATGAGTTGTCATTCCAGAGGCTAAGTAATATACCTGTTATCCTGTATATTTATTGTCTAATCTGACCCTATAAGCGAAAAAGCATCATAAGCAAACGCTTGGCGACTGAAATAGGTAAGACTGAGGTACCCACGCAGAAGGATTTATGCCTTTTGTATTTACAAAAGGCATAAATCCTTATGTAATGAAATGATACTAAGTTTTAATATTATGATCATTTGATCATAATATTAAAACTTAGTATCCTCTTCATTCGTTTCAATTGTAAGTCTGTGAAGAAATAGCGCCAGTAGTAAAATATTGATTATCTTCCGGATTTTCCAGTCATACGGCAACCCTATACACACCATTGAGTAGTCTACCCATTTTACCGTTGTATAAATTAATATGATCATGCAAATTAATTCACGCAGTTTCGAGTTCTCAACTAAACGACTACCTACCATACCATACAGATAACATAGTAAAATGTACACGTATTTTTTTCCGATTCCGTAGGACTTTGAATTTAATTGACACACAAAAACTTTATGTCATTTTATATTTCTGTCTCAAAAAGGTTGTATTTTAATTGCACTAAATAAATGAAACAGTAATTATTAGTTATTAAGTCATTGATAATTAAATTGTATAAAAACAGACGGATGAAAATTAAGTGAATTCAAGTTGTTTATTTTCTAATATATCGTCCGAAGTCGCTATGTACATACGATGTGTGGAAACAATTGTTAGAAATTACTTTAAGTACGTATTTATATACTTAAAGTTATATATATATATAACTTTAAGTATATAAATAGTTCATCACACATACTGTTAATAAAATATAACTACCTAGATCTACTCGTCGCATTGCTACCCTAGAATATTGGTGAATTACAGAAATATTCTATCAAATAGGTACTGTATTACGTTACGTATAACAGTAAATCAAATGAAATAAAAAATCATTTATTCATGTAGGACATTTTAGCTACTTATGAACGTAAATTTTCTGTATTAATATTTTTTCCCTATCGTCCAGGTCAGAATACAGATTCAATTGAGAACTGGCAAGAAAATCAACTATTTTTTAAAGTTTGTTTATTCACTTATAATTGTACTATATCTACGTATAATTACAAAGTAATTAACATTACGCTTTGTAAAATTGGCACCGTTTTATTACAATTGTACTAAAATTGAATCTATGTGTCAATTTGAAGGGATTTTAAAAATAGGCTTGTACAAACATCTCGTACTAAAAAAATATTACCACTGTTAAATGAATTTTTATCTTATCCAAGCAATAAGATTTAAAAAATCGCGGTATGATAAACGGTACGGTTCCGTATAAAATACGAATTACGAACAATCAAATAAATATTAATTTTATATATAAGATATTGTAATATGGACTCTAATGCACATATATATACGGCTACACAGAGACCAACGCGTAAAGATACCGTTCCGTGCGTATATTAGAAATTATGTTTTGGACCGAATCCAAAATACGAGTCGGTATTTATGTCTTTCCGGGGAAGAAAAGCTAATAACTAAGAATACCCAAATACAAAAGGTTTAATTTTGTTTTCATTAACTAAAGGTTAACTACATTTAACGCTAGTCCTTATCTAATTAAATGATGTTTATCAGATATGTAAATAATAGTACGTAGGTTAGGTACAAATAACAGTTAAGTTCACAGGTATACAATAATATATACCTACTCATATTTGGAGTCGCGAGATTGAGGTAGAGACTATCTTCTATAAAAAATTTAGAAGTAAATCTAGAGAATGACATTTCGTTACTTTATAACTTGGCATCTTCCTGCAGTTTGCTACTATGTGATCCTTCTTTTTCTTTGACGGTACATTCGTAAAGTTGATAACGTAAAGTTAAACAGCCTATAGCCTTTCTCAAAGTTTGGACTATCCAATGCAAAAAGAACATGTTATTTCGATTAGTAGTTTCAAAGGCTAATGAGCTCAAATAAACTTTTTACATTTACCTATTAGGTCTATTAATATTGGCTGAACGGCGCAACTTCCTAAGCATCTCATTTTCCTGTTTTTGTAATATTAGAACTTGTAATTCCCGAGATTAGCACGTTCAAGCAACCAAACAAACAAACTCTATTTTATATCTACATAATAATGTAAAGCTGAAGAGTTAATAATAATAAATTTATTATTATTATTGTATAACGTATTAGTATATATATCTATACTTCATAGATGGATTTATAACACCTGTGGACTGATTTTGATATATGTTTCTTTACGACACATAAAAGGATATTTTACAAAAATATAAAACCTGTTCAAATAAAATAAACTGTATTTGCAAAAACATAGGTACAAATTAGTTCTATAAATTTCAAGTCCGTTTTTTGTGTAAATAATTTTCATAAACTTATAACATTAGTTTTAAATATAATGAAATGTAGGAAAATAATGAATAATAGTTTTTTTTATTAATGTAATATGTATATGGACTGTATTTTTAATAGGAATTTTCATATGAAAACATCTACAATAATAATAATAAATAATTATACGTAATTTTTTTTACAAGTGTTGCCGACGTTTTTATGTATGGGTAAAAATTGTCTAAACTATGTGAGCATATACCTACATAAGTACTGACTTGTTGTAAGTAGGCCGTAGATAATAATAGATTATGTTAGTCAACATTTACATACAATCTGGATAAGTAAACCATTAAGTGTAGGTACATAATGTTTATAAATTTGGCGATAAAACTTATTACCTACGAGAGAGAAAATCTGATTAATCTGTGACCTTATTTTGTAACTCATCGCAGTTTCGTTTGTAGTTATAGAATTGCAAGAAAACAATATAAAAATAGCTGACGGAGAAATTATGACGCATATGAAGTTACTAGAACTTTGTGTGCGTCACATAGTCCCCATTTTTGCAACAATTTTCATTGCATCTCCAAATTTTATCGTTGTCGATTAATATATTTAAATCATTCATTTAATCACATGAAATCATTAATTATATACCATTTACTTCTTGTTATAATTGTAAATAGTTATAATAACATCGTATACAAAGCTAGTATAACAGTCAGTTACGCTGTGAATTCTGACATATATAACGGATACTGATACCTACCCTCAATTATTTAATATTTCACATTAATTCAGCTCAACACATACACACTCACAATTGTTAAAAGGTTATATTATTTCTGGTAATCATAAATTTGTTGGTAAATTCTAAATTAATATATAATTCTCTTTTTAGCACACAGTAACATAATTGTAGTTACAAATCTTTGTTGGTTTTGAATAATAAATAAAATAAATAAATATAGCCATTCCCGATAAGTTTACTATGCAAAACTAAAACTTACGAGTTACTTACAAGACAAAATATAATATGTTTTATTTATATATAACCAAAAAGATGTTCATTTATATGCAGAACAATATGACAAATATTTTTTTAAACATTTGCCAAAAACGTGCGAAAACTTTGGATCCAAGGTATATTTTTTATAATACGAAAATATTTTAATACGGCATTGCTGCATAATCTAGCATAAGCTATCTATAATGTCATACAGTATTTTAGTGTAAAACACAAAACGTGTTGCCTATATCTGGCCTAATGATTGAAAAATTAGCCAAATTGATGAGTACTTTTCCGTGTCGGAATTGAAAACGAAATAGGCATGAATTGCAAGCAAAATAGGATAATATCCTGTTTACATAGTTACGTGTACATACTTTCAGCAATTTATAGAATATCGTAAATTCGACCTTCATTTGTGCAGTTAATTTACTCGTAAAGTGCATGTCAGGCGATATCATCGCTAATTCTGAAACAACTTTGATAACATATTATCAAAGTCATATATTTCAATAGATAGGGTTTAGTAACAATACAGAGACAAGGTATAGCGATTATTCAATTAAGTTAACACACAACTTCTAAACTAGTAAATATTGGTGGCGATTCTTATGTGATATGTAGAAAAAATGTAACTTAAAATTCATAGCCCTGACAATGTTATCTGATTGAATAAATATTGAGTGCATAGCGGTTTCTATGTCGAATGTCGCATGTCTAATCCTTGTTAATGTAAATTTACTAATGCAGAGCAACGTTTCTTGT